TTATCTGAACTTAAATGCACCACAGTTAGCTTTGGTAGCTAGTCAGGCCTCAACAGCTTGCGCACACCGATCCAAGTAACCCCTGTTAACCATCCGCTCTAGAATCTCTCAAAATGGCATCAAATCCATCATGAGTACACAAATTTAAGGACTACTTCTCAAAGCTATTTCTAAAAACCTCCAATAAACCAAAAAAGAGATGCCAAAAAGCCATTCAGAATGAGGACTGCACCGTACGCAGCATTATTAACTGTTCGTTTGGGATCAGTTTGATCCCACAGATGTTAAATCCTTCTCACTCCTCTTATCAACGCATTAAAGCCCAATAACAGACAATAACAGATTGCGACTTATTTGGGATTTGCGTGGTGCCACATGCAAAGTGTTGTTAACACCAATCACAGACAAAAAGCAGATGAAAATCCTTTGCGTTTAATCGCTCTGAGATCCCGACCAGATGCATCCTTTTTCTGTGACATCACATCAGTTCAAAATCACGTTTTAAGCAACTGAAAACCTGCCTATGGGTTTGAAAGGCACGTTTTCTTCACCATTTATCAGAATTAGAAACTGTAAAAACAGTAAAAACAAAACATATCTTTATATTTTCAACTTTTCGAAAGTCTGTGAACACATCACATGTAAAGTTCGATCAGGACAAACAGTGAAATCTAAGCTCTAAATCATGACGTTTCAGTGACATCACTGTGTCCTACGTGTCTTTTCAAAAACGAGTTCTCAGGTGAACTGCCGGCAGTGTTTCCACAGAGCAGAGAGAAGAAGAAAATAAAATATACTGAATCAATAAAGTAAAAGCAGCATGGCTCAAAAAGAGGAGCAAGCTGCTGGAAGATACCGTTGTCCTCGAAACTCAGGTGTTAATGGCGCCTTAAGGATATAAGTATCTGGAACCCCCAACTAGTCAGTCAGAACTGATGAAGCCTCTTGGGTGAGAGGTGAAACGTCTTCAAGGAACTCAAACAAGTCCAGTTGCTACGATTAAACTACAAGAATAACCATGACCTGGATGACTGAGAATCTTCACAGACATGTCGTCCTCTAATGTATTCATACCCTCCCATTAAAGAAGGAAAAAAACAGCTGTCACTGAAGTAATTTGAAATTGACAAAAGTAATAATAAATAAAAATGTAATAAAAATCATGACATTGCTTTTGAATTGTGGTTCAATAGAAATATTTAAAAAAAAACAACAACAAAAAAAAAACATGATGGGACCCGTAAACTAATATTTTGTTGACCAACCCTTTGAGCCAATCACTGCAATCAAGTGTTTTCTGTAACTCTCAATCAGACTTCTGCACCTGTTGACAGCTATTCTGATTTCACTGCTCATCAGCAAAGTGCTCTAATTTGTCCTGGACAGTTTTGTTTGTTTTTTAAAAATTATTCTTTTCAACCACCATTCAAAAGCAATGTCTTATTTCACTCACTTATAATTTAGCAATTTTTTATTTATTATTACTTTTTCCAGTTTCTAGTTATTTGAGTGACTATTGTGAATTTTGCCTTTTCTTTAATGGAAGGATATGAATACATTTGAGGACGACTGTACATCCAGCATGGGGAAACATCTTTCTAGAGCTTACATGCAGAGTTGAAATTGAAGTTACTTAAAAAATTCCCCCCAAAAAAGAGCATTTACAGTAAAAAGGTTCTGTGAAATAAATAAAAAAATGGTGGTCCTCTGCATAACCATCAAGCCGTTACTGACAAACCTACGAACAGCTACGTAACAAGAATTCTGAGACTTTTTGACTGAACTGCAGGCTGTGTTTACTAAACAAGTAAAAAATGTAAAGAGTTGAATATGTCTAGAATATGGAGACTTTTTTTTCCCAGAATTTGTAACACCTGTGGGCATTTGGAAAACTAGTGTACATGCTGATTCCATTTAAATAATAAGAAAAATAAATAAAAAACATTGAAAGAAACTTGTTTTTTTCTCCTTTTTTCTGTGATTTATGCTATGACAACTGTCACACTGCACAAAAGACATTTCTGAGTTCCCTCTACTTCTAGTCATGGTTGCTTGGTTTCCACAGAGGTATTGCAAAATCAAATCAACCCACAGTGGGTAGAAAAGTAACAGGAGCAAAGCAACTGCTTGGAAGTTAGAGGGTTAGGTACATTCAACCTATAAACAAAATCTCCTGCAGCAGCTTGAGTCTCAACCAACAAAAACAAATCGTGGATGTAGTTTGTGTTGGTTCGTTCCCACGGGTAACAAACTGCTGCATCCCAGAGTTAACAACCGCAGACAACCTCGGACTCTCTCTGAAATCAAATCCACAAAGCCTCCCGGGGACGTGTGCTGCAGCGAATATGTATTTATCCTTGTGTGTGCACTTGTCGTATTCAAACACGGATTATCTAAAAACTAACAAATCTCTGCCTCACAGGTCACATTCATCACTTTGTCTGCAGGGACGGGAAAAAAGAAAAATCTTTGAACAGGGAAGTCGGAGCAGTCCTGCGACACCACATGACACGAAACCTTTGAACTCAATTCACTCAATGACAAAACTCTGCGCTGTTCTTCATTTGATGTGAGGATTAAACAGCTGCACGGTGGGTTCAAGGCCTGCAGGCTGATTTATGACGACACATGGCGGTAAAGGGTCGGGGGGTGGGTGACCTCGCCCGGCTTCATTAGTTAACATTAGCTCAAATATGGCGTTGCGTGTTACATTTTCAGACAGGGGGGATACAGTTTCATAACTCAAACATCAGTAATGCTCATACAAGAGTTTCAACACACTCTGCAGAACACACACGGTGCTGCTGCACCCAAAGGCTCTGCTCTCAGTGGTGAAATACATTGAAGCTGCTTTGAAAAGACAAGATTTCTGAGGGAATTTCATGGTTCCAGCTTTCAAATGTGAGAAAATGCTGTATTAGCTCCTCCAGGGTCACATTATTTTGACTTTTCATAACATTGCAACAGACATTTTTAATCGATAACGACAAATGGGCTGCAACCAATGATTATTTTTGATTAAACTGTGGAGCTGTTCGCTCTTTAAAATGTCAGAAAATTGTAAATATTCAATTTACTGTCATAGAGGAGGAAAGAAACCAGAGAATAATTACATTTTAGCAGCTGGGAATCAGAGGGTTTAGTCTTGTTCTGTAACAAAAAAAGGCTTAAATGAATGATTTAATCGTTGACAACTAATTGATTGATTGTTGCAGATCTACTTTAAATTAGCGTAAATAATCTTTTTCTTCAGTTTCACAACTCAAACGTCAGCAATGCTCACACAAGAGTTTCAACACAGTCTGCTGAACACTCAAAAGCTCTGTTCTGAGTCGTGAAATACACTAAAGTTGCTGTGAAAAGACAGCAAGTTTTGGATTTTTGAGGGAATTTCATGTTGGAAATACTACACAGTGTGTTTTAAATTGAAATTATGGCCACAGCTATAGTTTGTACTGTAGGCTAAATGCAGCTGATGTGTCAAAAACCGCTGCCACCGTCACAGCTGCACGTTCTCTATAGAATAAATAGGTCGAACGTGACGCGCAGCATCGACTGTGGTCCAGATTTCCAGACATCCGGAGCGTTTTCAGAGATTCTGACAGGTGCTGTATCTCTTCTCGGCAGGTGTCTATTTTGGGTTGGAGGTGTGACCCTGGCTTCAGAGGGCCGGTGTGGTGGGAGTGGGCCGGGATGGGACCGCTGAGGAGTCTGAATCACAGCGAGCGAGCGGCTCGGGCTCTTCACGAACACACGATCGCTTCAGCTGCACCCACACGCTCAAATACTTCAGCTCTCAAACTCAGTCATCTTCCATGAAAGCCAGAAGATGTCACACGGTTTTCTAGAATAACTCTGTTGCTTCACTTTTGAATGAAGTCACAAGCAAATGAAAGATCATGATTTTATTAGTCATGTTGTATATTTTTAGAATCTTAAATGCGTGTTTTCTACCATTCTTACCATCTAGGGCTGCGAAACTTTATCAAAACTCTTTTGATAACTGCTGAATACACAATTTCAAGTCATTTTAAGAGGAAACGGTTATAGTTCCAGCTTTAAAATGGGAAAAAATGCCGTTCTGCTGATGCTGCATCACATTCTTTTGACATTTCCTCACATTATATTGACCTTTTGACCTTTTAAAATCAATAATGACCATAGGGCTGCAACTGAAGATTATGTATGTTGTCTATTAATGCGTCATGCTGTTTTCTCTTGTCTGAAAATGGCACAAAAAAATAAATAAAAATCAGTGTGTCCCAAAGCACAAGATGACAAAAATCTTGTTTTGAACACAAACCAAAGATGTTCAGTTTACTGTCACCGAGGAGTAAAGAAACCACAAATATTACCATTTAAAAAGCCACAGTGTGAGGATTTGTTCTAGTTTTCTTAACCTAAATAGATGATCATAATAGTTAATGTTTATTCAATATATGACAACTAATCGGTTAATGGTTGCTTTAAATGACAGGAAATGGTCTTCAGATAAGTCGTCAGCAAAGGAAAGTCACTGCAGCACATTTATACCAACAGCCAAAGTTTAGTGCCAAGCTTAACATTTATGGTTGATATCAAACCAGTGTTGCTGAATGTTAAGGATTAAAACCCTCAGAACAGCATTTTAAAAACAATTGTTCCTCAGTATAACAAATATTCCAGCTAAAATCACACAGTATTAATATTTCTCATGGAGATTAATGTGAACTAGTTAAGTACGAAATTGGGAATTTTTTTAAAAAAAAGAAAAGAATGCAAACAGAGCTTAAATCTCTTTTACATGGATCATATTGATAACAGAAAAAGCCATAAAAAGCTCCATTTACAACTGACAGGTGAAAGGAGTACAAGCAGGTAAAGGAAAGCGACTGAAATCAGAGTAAGCTCACTGATAACTTCACGATAACAAGTTCTGAATGAGAACTTTTTTTTTTTCTTTTGTTGTCACTGCACATAAGTAGATGGAGGGAAAAGTAAACTTGTGGTTGTGTCCTTACCGAGTCTCTTGATGGGATCCGTCGTCTTCTCGGCCACCTTCCTGCCCTGCTCCCTGGCACTGGCGCTCGGCGACTTGGCGCTTCCCAACATAGTTCAAAACTTGCGAAAACTTCAGCGAAAGAAAAAGCTCGCAGGTTGCACATTTACCACTCTGAGGGTTGCAGGTGTTTTTGAGCTGCCCCAGAAAGACCCCGAGAGCTCAGAGAGAGAGAGAGAGAGAGAAGAAGAGAGAGAGAGGGAGGGAGAGAGAGAGAGAGAGCCGAGCGCAACAGTTATTCCTTTTCCACATGTATGAAGTCCCTCCCCGGCGCTGCGCTGCTCTCCATGGCTGTGCGTAATCTGACTCCAAACAAGAGCGCACACTCCAGGCGCCCTCCTTCTCCTCCTTCTCCAACAAACAAACCCACGAAGCAGGGATGGTGAAGTCCCCCTGCAGACACAATTATGTACAAAAAAAGTTTCTTTTAAAAGCCCACAGAGCACGGACAAACCAGTTATTTATCAGAGCCACATGATCATAAAAGCCACGCTGTGATATAAAACAGCATTGCGCAACGCTGAATTGGAGCCTCATAAATTCCTCTGCAGGCCAACGCTGCACCTAAGTTTTTGAAAAGCTGTATACTTACAAGTGTTTACTATTGGTGTCCATTTTTCTTCTTGATCAGGGGAAACATCTAAACAGCAGAAATCTTTTTTTTTTTTATCATCCAGGTGAGGTGCAGAGGCCCCTGAGTGTTTCAGAGAAATCAGAAAAAAACATCATTAAAATGGATCTTTCTGTAGAAATGCCTTCAAGAATACAACTCTGTGAATAAGGAGGCAGCGCCACCTGTTGGGGATTCGAAGCAACTGCACAGATTTCAACAACAATCAATCCTGTAATGCCAAAATTCATCTTATGTATAAGCTGTCTGTGTGGATTTAAAGGCCGGTGGTGCTTTGTGGAAGAGGAAGCCCACACTCCAGGCTTTGTTGTGAGTGACCACAGTAGCAGAGCACTGGATGGAAACTTAATTAAATCTCGGTAATGGAGTTATAACAGAGAAGGACAGAGCTCAGAGCAGCCCTGGAAGAGCAGAAAATGTGATCTGCCAGGCGCACAGGAAAAAAAAATAAAAAATCTGGTTTGGTAGGTTGGGCGGAGGGGGGGAGCTTTTGAGATGATGTTTCTTTAACTTGGTCATTTAATGCAGCTGATGACTGTAAACACCCATCTGGACCTGCTGCTGCCTCCACCAAGTCCTGCTGAAATTTACACTTCAAGGCCATGAGTGCATGTATGCTTGCAAAAAAAAAAAGAAAAAAAAAGCCTGAACATTTTTTTTTCTATCTTTCATCTCCTCTAAATTGCAGCAGCAACAACCATGTTAGACAGGGTGAGAGATTAAGTCATGCCTGCTAATCCTCACAAGCTGTGATCTATGCAGGAGCAGCTTTGGTTCTGTGGCTGCAGCGCCCAGCTCCTTGATTTTGGAGAATATGGGAACCCCTGGTATGATTTCTCAGCCCTCCGTGGTCATTAGGTTTCACATTAACTGGAACGTATCACCTCTTCCTCAAAGGATTCCCAGTTCGGCTCGCTTATTTGCCAGGGCTGAAACTCTGCCTTGCTTCTATTAGTAGAAACAGTAGGCCTGTGTTGTTTGGAGCCGTTGGATTCCCAGTCTTTGCAGGCAGTGTTGAGGGGGGAAGAGCAGTCAGCCACCATAAGAGGTCACACACTGAATAACCCATTTTCTTCCATTAATGGAAGCAAGCTGCTTTGTAAAAACTGAAGAAACTACATGTGTGTGAATGACAGTGAAGCAGTTAAACATGATCACAGTCAACTGACTCTTAAACAGTGAGGCTGTCTGTGTGGTGTGTGTATGTATAGAACAAAACAATACAAAACCAATATTAAGATATTTATACTCCACAATAAGGTTTAAAATTTTTCCCCCATTAATTTATTTCAACTGCTTACTCTACACGAGCTCTGTCGTGAAAAATGCATGACCAGATTGTTAGTTTAGCGAGTTAACACCCAACTAGAGCTTGCTAACCAGCAGTAAACTAAAGGGAAGCTTCAGTGCTGCCTTGCAAGATCAGGCGCCGTCTATTTCCTGAAACTAACACAGTTAGTCGAAGGTCTCATGTGACGGATTTATAAAAACAACGGCGGTTTTCAGTCTGTTTAGGTCTTTTCACGGGCGCTGACTTAAGCCGTTTCGACAAAGCGTTATAATGTTCAAAATGTTTAAGTTAGTCGCAATAGTGCAAACGGAAATTCACATTGGGAAATATCACTGTCCAGGAATTACACCGAGCCTCTAATGAACACGTTGGCCTAGTTAGCAGATGGCTATTCTGTAGCTAGTTGCATTGTTGTTGCGTTACTTTGTTCGCAACAGTTTTACCGATAAACTGATAAAAAGGAAACCTTTCATTTGATCGAACATTCATTGTTTATTAACTTTTTAAACTCACAATAACACCACACAGCAGTGTAAGCTAGTTAGCGTTAGCTAGCCTAGCTTTATGTACAGTATGGTATTCTCGTTGTACTTCGTCATTAGGAGCAACTTGCTGTTTTCGTGCTCAGGCTTTAAGTTTATTATATTTATAATGCGTATGGCTTTACATTTTATGGAAATGATGCAGTGTTTAATTTGGGATCGACACCACGCAGCGTCCATCGGCTAACTAACGTTTGGCTAACGTTAGCTAGCTAGCTTATCCTTAGCTGTGAACACGAAACAACAGTATAAAACTGTAAAACACAGCATCACGGAACATTGGGTTGCGTAGAAAAGCTCAAAACTGCTCTACACCACTCCGTCCACTGGTAACAGGATTATTGAGCGAGTGTGAGATCGCCTGACCCACCCTTCAACAACGAGGGGCTCGAGAGTGTGATCGCAGCGGCGGCTTCACAATAAATGTCGTTTGTTTACGCTGATTCCAGAGTTCCCCCGAGCCCCTGCCCCACAACGTATCACTCCGCACAGCACAGAATACCGACATTGAGCGATTTAATCACCCAACCGGCAACAAAACGGCGCAGCTTTCCGGTATTAGTCGTGTAAAATTATTGCACATTAAGAATGAGCTGTATTTACCTATTTTCTAATGTGAACATTGAAACCGGACTATATTCCGTAAGAGGTTTTCTTCATTTTGCTATAAATACAGGAGTGTTACATTGTGTTATTAATTCTATCTCTCGCTATATGACAAGCAAACAAGAGTAAACTGTATTATTATATGTATAAACTTTGCATGTTTGTTTCACTGACGGTAGTATGTCATTCAAACGTTTTTAAATTAGCTTGCATTTCGTAACTTGTACGCGGCTTCCCCTTCATTTGTACATAGTAGCGTCCACAAAATGCCCGGGACTGCTTTCTTGGTGTGGATTACGCACTTTTGACTGACTATTGGACTGGCCAATCAGAAAATATCTCAAGCTTAGCAACAGCAAAGTTCTCCTCTCGTCCAATCAGCAAAGAGAAGGGTGGGCTTTCTCGTGCTCAAGATCCAATGCTTTGATTGGTTGAAATGCTCGTCAGTTAGAATGGACTTGTGGCCTATGTAGTTTCGGGTGGGGGTTTCTGCGATTGTTTCACTGACAATAAAACAACACATCCCACAATCCATCAGGAGTTACAAGCAGTAGCATGCGCACGGCTAGAGGCGGAGCTGGTATATAAACAGGAGCTCCCTCTTCTTGAGTAGCACACTGGACACTGTTGTGACGGCGGAACGCAGTCTCCGGGTGAACGGCAGCCGTGACAGCATCGAAACAGTTAATGGTAGTTAGCGACAGTTGCTCTGACAAACCCTTGGAGGAGTAACAAGTGTTTACTGTTTGGAAGTTTACTTTACCGTAGCGAGAGTTGTTTTTTAATAGGCAAAACTTTCTTTAGAGATTTCGGTTCAATTTGGAATAAGTATATTTTGTTCGAATTAATTCTTTTAACGAACTTTTTGACGCTCCTCATCGAGGCCACGAAGACCGTTCAAAATGTGCTAAAAGCGGCAGCCATTACAGAAGCACGACCAGGATGACAGAGCCAGCGGAGCAGCAGAGCCATCACCTGAAAACTTCAGGCAGCCCATCAGGTGGGAGCAGCGGAGACGCTTTGGAGCATCTCCCAGCCAGCAACCGTGGAGGACCGGAGAACGGCGACAGGGGGCGACAGAGAGAACTGAAGCAGCAGCAGCGGCGGCAGCGGGCGGAGAACTGTGGGGATATCAACACAGACAAGTTATGGCAAATGAAAGGCGGACAGAGGGGGGTGTGCCCAGCCTTAGCAGGCGGAAACGAGCTCCAGAAGTGCCAGATCGCAACTCAGCCTCACCAGAAATTCGATGGAGAAGGTAATCGCACCTCGCAGGGGAAAAACGGAGAGGAGAGACGGCGGCAGGAGGCTTTAAACCAGGTACAAGACGAGCACATCGACTCCGACACGGGCTTGGATGCGCGTCTGGGCAAGAAGCGGCACAGGCGCAGGACCACCAAGAAGAGACGCAACTGGAAGCCGTACAACAAACTTTCCTGGGAGGAGAAGAAAGCCCTGGAGGAGAGGGAGACGGCCAGGGCTTCGCGGATGAGGGAGGAGATGTTCGCCAAAGGGCTCCCAGTTGCCCCCTACAACACCACCCAGTTCCTGATGGACGAGCACGACCGAGAGGAGCCGGACCTCAACACCGAGACCGGGGTCAGGCGGCCCCTGGGCGGCATGGAGGACACCGGCAGCGAGGAGGACTTCTTCGACAACGAGGAGGAGGACGACGACGACGGCAGCGGAGGAGGCAGCGACGGCATCGGGAGGCCCGGGAACGCAGGTGGGGAGTTTCTCCAGAGGGACTTTTCCGAGACCTACGAGATGTATCACGTCGAGAGCCTGCAGAATATGACCAAGCAGGAACTGGTGAAAGAGTACCTGGAGCTGGAGAAGTGCATGTCCCGGCTGGAGGAGGAGAACAACCGGCTGAGGCGCGCCGTGGAGCCCGGATCTGTGGAGAGGTCCGAGGTCCGGGTCCGAGATCTGGAGAGGGAGGTGGAGAGACTGAGAGCCGAAAACACGGAGCTGCTTCTGCAGAACCAGCCCAGCAAGGACAGGGGGCAGGTCCAGGCCACAAATTAAAGGACACAAGTCAAAAGCGTTTGAAAAAAGGTAAAAACATAAATATGGGACTACTGCATTTTTTAATAAATTGTCATCAGTTTTCTGTAATCAGTCTGTCATTTGGACAATGAAGTCCTTGCATCACGATGCAATATACTTGATTCTTTTCTATTTGGACTGTAAGGTGTCCTGTTCATTTTTTTTTTCAAGACGAAATGTAAATATTTCAAAATTTGAGATTCTTTTTATAAAGAGAAGGTATTTAACAGCACCAGAATATTTTGTTTGTTCCCTGGTCGGTTCCATTTTCAATTTAAAAAAAAGATTAAATCAAACATTGTGTGTTGCATTTCTGCCCCCATCAGAAACTGGATAAGAAATTACAGCTAAATCAGGCCAACTTGCAAATACTGTTTTTGCAGAAGTCAACTCTGGAGTGAACATTTTAACAATTGTGTGTTAACATTAGTTCAAATAAAGTTTTGAAATTCTTGATTAAACCTGTCATGTGTTGTGAAGTCTGCTCCAAAAAACACGGGGAGCTGTTAATAAAAAGCTGCAGTGAGGAACTACTGTCTTGCTTTTGTAATAGATTGCAAATAATCACTCAGATTTTCTTGCAAAATCCTGAAATGAACGTGAGTTTATTATGCAGGAATAAATGCAATATGGGTTTATTACCCTTTTCAGAATTAAATCTTGCTCATAGGAGAAGTGTCGATGGTGTGAGAAGCCAACAAATCTGCAGAAAATTGTTCTTAAAGCTTTATATTTTGGTGGCATCATCTTTTAACAGATCCCCAGCATTACAGCTGATTTCCACAGCATGCATAAATATTTAACTATACATATAAGTTAATAAGAAAGAGCCTCAGTAGCTTTAGATGAAGTTTCCCTCATGTGCAGAAGCAATCTGTGCCAGAGGGCCTGAAGAGACTTTATTCATCTGCAGCCTCTAGAGGGCATCATTCAGCTCCTATTTTAAGTTCCCTGCAAAACATGAGCTTCATCTTCAGTGCAAAGTGTGTGTCTTGCAGAAAATAAAATAAAATCCACATTAAGCCTTATTTTTTTAAACATATTTCTGTTTATTTACATCATATAACCTTGCTTTAAAGCACACAGCCATGGGGGGAGGGAAGGAAAGGATTTCAGGCGGACAACCTTTTTTTTTTTTTTTTAGTCCAGTCATTTTCATATTAGTTATACTCGAAAGCAATTCCAAATGTACACAATACAATATGTTACATATTAAGATAGTATGTACAAAAAGAAGATTTTAAAATACAACAACGAGACATTAGGTAAAATCACATTTCAGACATCAACTCTTGAGGTTTTCCTTTTGATGGGCTGTTTTTTTTTGTTCATCTTGAGGAAATTGGATGTTGTCTGGCATGACCTAATGCGGTTTCAGGGTCGGGCTTGTTAGGTGTACCATTATTCACACACACGGTGGATTACTAGGCAAAAGAGAGATGACCTCAGTTTGTTAAGAAAAAGCAGCTGAGAGAATACGACGCCTTTTCCCTCTTAGCAGCAACAGTAATAGCTGTTAATGCCTCTGTTGAAGGCAAAGAGAGTGCATAGACGTGTCCTTGGCTTAAAGTGTGCTTTTCTTCCTTTCTTCTTTTTTTTTTTTATTACAGCCTCTCAGTTGTATTTAAATGTACACATCTTTGGGTCAGTGCCTTACCATTAACCGCAGTCGAGGAGGGAGGAGACCCAGAAATAACAAAAGGAAACAGAAAGATAAGAACCGAGCATGGCACTGCAGAACAAAAACACATTCCAGAAATCAGGCACTTGTAGAAAAAATCTTGAGGTAAGACAAGACTAGAACTTATTTATTATTATCGTTACTCTTTCGTCGCCGGGTTATTTGGTCAGATGGAAACAAGCGAGTGTCTGTTGACCTCTGGGGTCACACCTCCTGTTTGTGTTATGATGTGACGGCGGATCGGTCAAGACGAGAGCGAAACAATGGATTTACGACATTCTGCTTTCATTTCCTCCTATGTACCGTTTCCCCCCCCTCAAGTCAGGGAGCATTTATTAGAACCTGACCTTATGGAAAACTCCCCCCACATCATGTAACCCCAAGGTAATAAATGTGCTGACAGATGAACCCTCCAGAGGGCATGTGCTGAAAACACAAAGATCCCAAACGGCAGAGGTGGAAATGTTCGTGTGCCGTGTTTTAGCGGTCTGTTAAACACCGTCGGGCACCGTTACGAGAGGGAACACACTTTGCATTGAGCTCAGTGAATACGAGGAGATCTGTGGAGGCGATGCTCAGTAATCCCAGACATGAAAAACAAAACAAATGAGGAGGTCAGCCGTCACGGTGCGCTGAGCTGCCTGCAAACCCTCCAATATAATGTAATAATTACCAGATTACATTTCACAACTTGCTACATGTAGATCGTTTTATGCACTTGTTGATGCAACTTTATTGAAAGTATCCTCACTAGATAATCATATCTCATGAGATAAAGGTTTTCTGCACAGTGCTGTGAATAAAAAGAGAAAGGCCATCTATGAGGAAATAAGGAACAGGTTCAGACACGTTTATCTCGTCTCCTTTGAACAGGTACGCCCAAGAGGTGAAATCACAATAAAAGTTTATTTTTTTTACTTTAATACAAAATATATATAATATATTTTTATATATATTGAATATAAAACAAAAAAAAGAATATATTAAGGGAAACATTTCAAGTAACATCTTGAAAGAAATGACTGTGCACTTGTACGCACTTTTTGTAAACCATTAAAAAAAAGGAACTAAAAAAAGTAAAAACAAATATGATAACATATTATTTATATTTACAAGGTTAACTTAACAAGGCTTTGTACAAATGTTACAAAAAATTGTTCAAGACAAACACCTGCACGCTCGGACATGATCACGAATATTGTTGCGCAAACACACAAACGTTATTAACAAGTACAGAGACAGACGACTGTGTTTTCATGTGTTTTTGTGGCCAAATGTCAAATATCTGAGTTTTACAGTGTCTGTGGTCAGAGGGAGGAGCATGATAGGAAGACTGATGTGAAAAATCAGTTGATTTCCCCTCTTGAAATGACTGAATTAGTGTGTGTCTGTCACTTGTGGCTCACTGAAGGAGGTTTCGGAACATTTTGAAATTGTTACCCCACTTTGACAAGAAGCACCATTCTCTCAAGAACCAGAGGGAGGCTGCGCTTCAGCATCCGCCTCCGGTTACTTGAAGGGATTAACCCTTGAATTTATGTCACCCGTGAGCCAGACGAGAAGGAAGAGACGACGGGAAGGATGCTCGGTTATTACTCAAGTGAGAATTCTTGGCTGTAACGTGGACTGTGATGAGGTCTGTTTGTGTCTCTGTATCACTTCTATAAAAGCACACGTATAGCAAAAGGAAAACAAAAGCTTTGGCAACACTGGAATGCCCCTTGCCATGCAAATGGAGCTCATCAGAAAGAAAAGGTTTATTGTTTTTGACCTGTCCACCTTTGTGAAGCGACTGACCTGCAGGGAGTCAGCAGCTTGGCTGGACCCCCCTCAGAGTCGGCCTCTTTCCTGGGAGTGGTGGTTGGGGTCAGCTGGCAGGGCTCACAGGTACTGGTGGAATCTAGAGGTGGGTGCTTGACGTGTAGCGGGTCCTTGTTCAAGCCCGTCTGCATCCCGAGGCAGCCCTTGTGTTTTTACCTGGTTTTGATTAATGGGAGACAAGGGGAACTCGTTGACAGCCAGCGGGGGTCTCTTGTCGGACGTCTCAGTTGGGGAGGCCACCACGGTGTGCCTTCGCCAAGCCCGTCTCTTCCTGCGAGTCTCGGGTGACAGCGGTTTTCGTAGTCCAACGCTGCGCAGGTCGTCGGCTGAGCCTAGCAGTCGAGCGCGAACGTGGTCGGCCAAAGACCTGCCGCCGGGACCGGTAGGGGTGAAGGAGGCGGCCTCGCTGGGCGGCAGGGCTGGTTTGGGTCGAGCCGGCCGCAGGCTCTCCTGGCTGCTACCTGAGGAAGGGTTGGTCCTGGAGCTCCTCGGTCTGGATGCACCTTCGGACCCGGAGCCCGTCCCCTCGGCCCCAGGGAGCTCCAACAGGTCCAGGGAGCGAGCCTTGGCCTTCTCCGACTTCAGCTTCTTCCTGGCCAGAGTGTCGCACTGGATCAGCTTGTGGGAGTTGAAGGAAGGCCGCGAGTGCAGTTTGTGGGTGGTGGAGGAGGAGGAGAAGGAGGAGGATGAAGGTGTGGTGGAGCGAGCACCTCCTTCATTCCTCTCTGCAGAGTCCGGGGTGAGCTGGGTGGGTGGGGCTAAAAGGTTTGTGGGTGAGAGAACAGGGGGTTTGTAGTGGGAGTAGAGGAAGCTGCGGGGGGCTGCTGGCGGTTGGGTGTTGACAGGTGGTACTGGGTGTTTATCGGGTCTCTCCTGGGTGAGGGAGCGCGAGGCGAAGCCGCTCTCATTGTCCGTCTCGCTCACCAGCTCACTGTGCTCATCATCAGCATCGTCCCCCCTCCCCTCCGACCCTAAGCTCCGCCCCAACGTGGAGAGCGTGGAGTAACCAGAAACGATGGAGCGAGCGTCCTCTGGAGCTCGCCACCGCGGCCCCTTGACCTCCGCCTGCACCTCCTCCTCATGTAGCCTTCCTCCCGCCTCCTCTTCCTCCTTGCAGTGTGGCCCACTGGGAATAACCACTACCTCCTCCTCCTCCTCCTCCACCTCCTCCTCATGTAGCCTTCCTCCCGCCTCCTCTTCCTCCTTGCAGTGTGGCCCACTGGGAATAACCACTACCTCCTCCTCCTCCTCCTCCTCTTCGACCTCTGCTTTCACTCCGCTCTCTACAACTTCCTCGTCTTCCTCCTCCTCTTCCTCTTCCTCCTCATCGTCGTCCTCCTCTCCCTCTGCTCGAGGGGCAGTGTCTCCTACCGGCGACTCTGCCTCCTCTTCCTCCTCCGCCCCCAGATGCCCAGCTTTGATTGGCTCATGCTCGGAGTCATCGTCGGTGCTGCTGCCCACACGGCGGGCGTTGTGGCGCTTCCTGCGTTTGCGGCCCGTAACAGCCGACATGATGGACAGAGTCAGGAAGTCCTTGGCTGTCAGGTCCTTCTTCGACCCCCACGACCCCTGAGAAAGGAGGAAACATTACTGAACCACTGCCATGTTTTTCTATGTTCCAATACACTGAACTACTTCCATATACAGTATGCAACAGAAGTGCAATATCAGGGAAATGCCAAATGAGTTCAGTCTTACTAAAGGTCACTAAAAAAAAAAAGGGAGTGCATTACTGAGATTCAATAGTTTTTTCTCAATACTTCATGTGTCCGCCTTTGTTTTTGATGACACACTCAATCCTCATTGGCATCGAGGACACCACATTTCTAGAAAGTTTTTTCTCTCTTTCTTTAGAGACTATTTCTTTCAGCTGCTCTTTGCTGTAGGGGTTGCGTTGCTCTGTGTTTATCTTTATAGCGCCCTTAAGGTGTTCTACTGGATTCAAGTCAAGCGACATACTTGGCCAAGTTATAGTTTTTCTCTTTTAGAAACTCTTGTCTGGTTTTGGCAGCGTGTTTTGGGTGGTTATCACGTTGGAACATTCCTCTTCCTCAAGCTTCTGCCGACTGGGAGTCATCTTGTCGGCCAGTATTTTGGTTAATTCACAGACATTCATGGTGTCATTTATAAACATTGTCTCCCCAACACCTTTTGCACTCATGCAGCCCCATATCATCAAACTCCCACCTCTGTGCTTCACTGTCAGGACTACGAATTCACTGTGGTAGTCCTGGTGACGCTCACTGGACCTTATCATTTATCTGACCAAAGAATGTCCTCCCTGCATTCATTAGGCCTCTTTTCATTTAGCAAAGCCTCATCTTGCAGTTTTTAGCCGATGAGTAAGTTGCTTGGACATCATTGAGAGAGGTTGGCATTATGAATTGTCTTTCACATTGTCTGAGCCGTCACCGAAACTCGGATTTCCCCTTTACCAAGCCTGAATCAATTGCCCATCTGTGTCTGTGGAGTTATTTCAGCAGGATGACCACTACAGCCCCAATCAGTGGTACAATGGCTCCCTTTATACCTCCTGATTAATACTGCAACTGTGTTTTCCCCATTTTTAAATTGATATTTCTGTATCCTTCAACATTTTTGCGAAATCTCAGATTTTTCAGCTCCTTCAGCAATTCTTTTCTATGTGGAACCATGGCGCAGACAGACACGGTCCATCTGTCCAAAACAGAGAAGGTTCTGGTGCTAACAGCTCATTTTATCACCATGTTCATGCACTTAGACTGGAAAGCGCGGGTGTATTTTGTTTGTTTCCACATTGAGTTTCTACCTTGGAGTCTATATTTTTAATATAAACTTTCACAAGTGTTTGGTTTCGATTGTACACAACAGCAAACACTCAAGTTAGAAACAAAGCAGCTACTGGAGGTGATACAAGTTTGACTCATTTGACATTTAAGAGATATTGAACAGGGGTGTACTTATTTCTGCTGTGTACGGCGTCCGCGTGCATGAGAGATACTTGAACAATAATGAAACCGTGTACCATGTTAGGAGATGTTACCTTTGATTTAGCTGAGTCACTGTTGGTTGAGTCTGGGGAAAAGAAAATAAAGACATCAGTGAGTCAGAACAGTTCAAGTTAGCAAAAGGCCAGAACAGTCATGGTGGAGGACACAGAGGCCGCTGGTGGGATCATCACTCTTTTTCTTTTTGTTTTTTTTAAAAAAGGAAAAATCAACAATAAATCACAGAAAACTGCTCCTGCACTGCTTACTATCGTCTGTGCACACAATAATTCTCGACGTTACCGTGAAGCTGGGGTTTTCCATCAGCTGTAAAGAGGGAAAACACCGGCTGTGGCATCACTAATTGAGACAGGCTGGCATCACAACATACTTTGAAGTTTCGGTTTGTAGTGAGCAGTGCAGCTGCAGTCCTGCGTCCTCTTTCTGACTCAATAAACAGAAATCCCTCTGATAAATTTCAAGGAACTGGTCTTCCTCTGTGCCTCGTGACCATGACGGACCCCACAACAAAGATGTACACACCGGAGTAATGTGGAGGAAAGACAATGATTCGGAGGAGGGGGCGGGGAAAGCGGGGTTTTGGTGTTGGAGGTAAAACTGCATTAGGAAATCACGGCACACACTGATGAGATCACCAAAAAACACTGATGACATCAGTCAGTGAAAGAAGCAGAAATAATCAAGAGTGTGAAAAGAAACACATTCCCTCACAAACACGCTGATGCGGGAGAAAAGCTTTCGTTGACATATCGCATACAATTATTTTCCAGGAAACCAGAGGGACGAGAGAGCTGGTGAGGTTTTCTAGGTGGAACTGTTTCTCCTGTGACAATGACATCAGTGGTAAATATCACTTTAGTTTGTGTCCAGCTTAGAGATGGCGACTGCCCCTGTTTATTTTTATTTTTATATCCTATGTACGCAATAGGACAGTGTTTTTACCTTCTTTTTTTTTTATTACTGCAAAATAAAGTCCTGCACCTCTACAATTGCTAGAAGTAAAGAAAACTAAAAAATATCCTGTGTACAGTATGACACCGTTATAATGCCATAAATGATAAAAGGAAAAAAAGAAAAGTTTTATTTCTTCTATTATTTATTAACATAAACCTGAAATTTGCATGCACAACATGCTTCCAAGTGCCCACAGGTGAGTGGTGAGTCTACATACCACAGATATTTTTCTATTCACATGTTTTTTTGCTTCCATACTTATTCTCCATTTTCCTATCTGATCTGTGTAAACACAGCCTGCAGGTCTACCAAAAAAGTCTCTGAATTTCTGATACATGACTGTTAGTTGTAACAGAGTCATTCATGTTACATCAAGAAGCACTGAATTAATTGTTTTTGCAGAATTTGTTTATTGTAAAGGGTTTATTTTTGGTAAATCCTGGAATGAGACAAAGTGAATTTGATCAAAATCACTATTTAGAAGTTTAGATTTGGTTATCTTTCTAATTGGAACTGCATGTCCTACATGATTTGCTCATGACTGTAGACATTTTTCAGTTTTTACAGTTTCTGGCTCTGAGCAATGGTTTGATTTGGCAATTTTTTTGAAGATAACAAACCTTTTAAACTGTTAAATTACTTTAAAATGCATTTTTACAGAGTTGTTTTTCTGTGATGTTGTGTTTTTTATTGTTTTTCAAGGCTTTTATTGCTTTTGTTATTTTATTTAATATTAATTTATATTGTTTTTTTTGGAGGGGAGGTGTTTCGTCTTTTTGGTTATCGCTTGCTTTGTTTGGCCTTACTGTTGTTATTATTGTGCCCTCTGTATATCCTGCTTGGTCTGTCAAAGCACTTAACTCTTGTTTCAAATGTTCTATATAAACTAAGTTCCTAATATGATATAAAATTCCGGTAAAAGCCCTCAGTTCTTACAAAATGCAGCTAAGCTCAGGCACCTCGCTCGTGGTGCTACTTCTGCACACATGGAGGGGAAGTGGCCCTTCAGACTAAAACAATGCAGCACAGTGTTACAGCTGATGGTCAGAATTTTGGTGAATTTTATTTGAAGAGGATCACGTATGGAAAAAAAAAGTACAGACATCAACAGCTGACATGTGAATAGACCGTCGAAGTGAATCAGTCGACGCTTCTCTAATGTTTTTCGTGTGAAAAGACATTTGAAGAGGACACTGGGAACTGGTTTTTGGCATTTTTCATTATTTTCTAACCTGCATGTATAATATATTATAACATCAATTAATAATCTAACCATTTGTTTGAATTTTTATATTATAATGATAATAAAAAATATAAAATATTGAACAAAGACTCTTAACCGAAATATTTGAATAAGTCAGATGAAGTTTTACAATAAATTATATCGTTGGATATTTAAATTAGTTAGATACATTTCTATAATAAAAAAAGATTGTGGAGTTTAAACCTGAATATTTAAATGCGTAGAGTACATTTTTATTATATATAATATTGTAGTGGTTTAACGTTTTCTATTTGAATCAGTCAAGTACATTCATATAATAGATAATACTGTAGGGTTTTAACTATAAAATTAGAACTAGTTGGTACCACTGCAGCATTAATCTTATATCTTTACTGGAAATCACTTGGACTCAGCGTCTGTTGTCTCATATGTGCTGCATAAATATCAGTGCCTTATTATTGTGTATTGTGGAGTCACATGAGCACAGGCCTTATTCAGGGAACACATGACTCCATATTCTTAGCTCTCATCACCGGTGGAAGGTGAGAGGCCACTTCTCTGAGTCCAAGTCGCCACCCAATTAAATCTGCTATTACCTCGGCGCTCACTTCAGCTGCATGGGGGAAAGTTTTGGCCACAGTGGAGCTGCCATCTAGAGGCTTCACACAATATCATTTTTTTCTTCTTAAAAGGAAATTACCATTGAAACCATTCAGGCCCGGAAGTGGCACGTCAGAAACGGCACCACCTAGAGTCCCTTTGGAGCTGGAAGTGGGGTTAGGAGCCCGATGATTGGGCTGAAAGGGCCTGTGAGGATGAGTGTTTTGAATGACAGGCCACCAGCGGGGGAAGTCTCAGTGACAGACCACAGTATCAGATACAGCAGCTCCAACAGCCATCCATCCCTTCATTAGTCAGACACGATTTTAAAGAGACCTCAGTCTGACACTGCGAGGGAGACGCTGACTTTCACGAGGGGTAATGGAGACCATGGAGACACAAACCATCACCGTCACTGACACACTCTCTCACTGACACACACACACACACCCAGTGTTTCACTTTCACAATATGACGCACTGACTTGGCAGCACACACACACACACACACACACACGTATTGCCAGGGGAGTTCCCATCCTACCGCAGTGGCTGCTCCACAGGCTCAGCTAAGAGAAGGAAATGCAGAAACGTACAGAGAGAGTGAAAGATGAGCAACGTGGAGAGGGGAAAAAAAAGAGGTCAGCAGAAAGGAGAGAAGTGTAGGCACGCTATCAAACACAGAAACACTCGGATGTAAGGCTTCAATTCTTATGCTGCGTTCCAGTTCTGCAGGAAAGTAGGGAATTCTGGCTTTAAACTGGGACAAACTTCCAAGGAGGACATGCCAAGAGACATTTAATGCTTGAGAGGATTACTTTAACATAAAAACCTCCATCTTTTACTTTCGTGGAGTCTCACAACTATATTTCTCTGAACAAATAAGTAAAAAAAATTAAATCTGTCGGTGTCTCTTGTTTTAAAAAATAAATAAATCTGTCTTTTGTTTTCCCCTCAGTTCACTAAACACACAGATTGTAATTATTACGAGCTAAGTAGGGAATTTCCTGCTTCAGGCTTTGAAGGAAAGCAGCATCTATTTTCAAATGCCAGTTCAATACTATTGGGCGGTGCTTTGACGGCAGAGAGTGGAGCTCACCTGAGGCCTCCCCGAGCAGAGCGGTCCTGCCGATGTTGGACAGCAGGTGGTCGATGTTGGGGGCCGGCTGCACGTCCTCCGTGTCCACCGGCGTCTGAGGGACGGACACAGAGAAAACAAGGTTAGAGGCTGTGAATTACAGAGATCTATTAACGGTAAAGTATCACTGAGCTGATGAGGTCACGGTTCAGTTAGTTTTTGGTGGGTATTTTTATGTTTTTCTTTCAAGTAGTGGACAATTAAAAGAACTCAACAGGGGCAGTGGTTGGGATCTTACAACCCACCAGTGAACCGAAATGACATGCTATCTTGTTTGAAAAATCACCAAAACTACACCATTCATCAGTCAGAAGTAACAAACTGAATGAATTGTCAGATTTTCAACTCTCCAACGTTTCTTGAAACACTCATCTGTAGAGAAACTTCCGAGTTTTAGAGAGAAACTATTCTGTAGGTTTTATTTAAAAATGTAATACACTCACACTGACTTAAACACACATTAGCTGTATTTGCTTACTGAGCAGCAAAAGTGAAGTTTTGGAGTTCAGTAAGAGCCACCATCAAAAAAACTAAAATCATGTAGAAACAAGTGTCAGTACTGTGAAATAAAACAGCGTTATTAGGCAAACTGCCGCACTGCTGAATCATGAAAGTGAGACTTGATTTTGGCAAACTCTTTAAGCAATTATATTTTTTATAAGCAACAGGTTTAAATATCTTTCACTTGTATTCACACAAGACTACAGAACAGGTGAAGAATTGTTGATAAGATGGAAATATAACAAAAAAGAAAGCAAAAAAGTTCTTGTACACTCTTGAACGTCAAAACCTGCCACCGTTTGCAGCGTTCACACAAAGCATAAAGGAGACAACTTTGGAAACAAGTTAAAAATGGATGGAAAAATGTTGAACAGGTTAAGCCTCTGTGTTTTAACTTAAAAAAAAAAAAAAAAATGCATTTCAGTTGCGTTTTTCCTGATTTATGACATTCTAACTGTGTCATACAGTACAGAAGACTATTTTGATTTTTTTCTATACCTGGCCATGGTTGTGCTGTTTCTATAGAGATGCAGGACTTTATATTGCAGTGAAAAAATTAGCCCACAGTGAGGAAAAATGTGACAGGAGTCAAGAAAAAAAAAAATCCAAATAACACCCAGATGGGGGTTTAGAGGAATGAATGAATGTATTTAATTTATCCCTCCACTGGCAGATTTGTTTGTTGAATAAAATCATATTTCATGACTTGTTATTGGAAAACAAAGATTACTTATTCATACCAGCTTATGAGAGTTTCAATTAAATGAATTCTACAACTTTGTTCACAACATTCTGCTGTTTGACTTGCAGCTTTCAGAGCTACTGTAAATTCTCAGCTGCTATTTGTAGCTTTTAAAAGTCTTTACTGTCCATTTGCTGACACAACAATATGGAAACACACCTTCTCATCCTTGTCCAGCTCTTCAGTGAAAAACCAGGTGCACTGCAAGAATAACACAGAAGAAGAAATATTTAGCATGCACTGGATTTTATCAGGTGCACATGTGGACTTTATATGGCGCTTCACATGTCTCACATGTTGGATGAGCGTCTCCACTATCTTGTAGCGGTCAGGCATGTGCGTGACCATGTCTTTCATGTTGTCCTCGGACGTCCGAACCAGCGTCGGCCCAAACACCAGAGCCAGGTTACGAGGCTCCATCTAAACACAGGAGAATACACATTACGTTAACACCAAGGAGTTTGCAGTGAACATTTTGTATTTTGTGGAATAAACAGCCTTCCATGCACCTTGTTTTTATCTGAGTTGTCGGCTACAGTTTTCAGGTGACCGACCAGGAACTTGAGCGTGTGGTAATAATGATCTGGGAGGTCTCGGATCTATGAAAGAGAGCGATAAAGTGCAGACAGAAATTACAACACTGTGCACAAGCAGGTAAATGATTTTTTCAAATTCAAAAATACAAACAGACACATACCAGCTTCTTCATGGTCTTTAGTCTGTCTGAGGCGCTTTCCATCCGATTGGCATCGATGAAGTCGTTGTACTTGTCTGTTCAGATATTAGAAATATGAAAAAACACGTCAGGTTAGATGGTTTAATTTGACTTACATGATGGTATTAGGTGCTACAGGCTTGTTGGGACATGTTCGGACTCACCGTTTGTGAAAAGTGGCTCTGGGAGTTTCCTGAAGAAAGATTTGAGTAAACTACTGACGACGTTGAGGTCCTGCCATTTCTGTTGACAAGACAAGACGTAGAGATGAGTCAGAGGTGATAATATTTCACGTTCTGCACAGAATATGACATTTTTGTTGAATGAAGTTGAACTAAACCTGACGATTTTCTGGATATACACCATGGATATCCAGTACAAAGTGCAATACTCGTGTATGCAGCAGGTATGATCAGTAACTGTTGTTAATCGTCGTGCAATCAGCATCGGAAGCAGCGTTGCATGTATTTTTGTGACCACTGTCAGGTGCTAATTTGCAATTTCACTATTATTTACTCGAAGAACATACATCAAATTCTGTGTCAATCATCAGGCGGTCTCCGACAAGAAGGTGTGTCAGGTCACAACTAGAGCATGCTCACTGTTTTCTTCAACATTTACTGGGTTGTGCAACCAAAGCTGCAACCCCAGCTGCTGTGAAATTAAGCCAATTCCCCAAAACTGCAGTTCCACAAATGTCCACTTGAGGCTGCATCCAAAAAGCGAGTCAATCTCAGCAGAAATGTCAAAACGCTACAATACGTTATAATCTGGTGTAAAAAATGTCTTTTGGTCTGAATACTATTGGTCCCATTCATGATGAATGTTCAGGGGGGTACATTTTTATAAAATTCATCTCATTAAATTGCAATAAATTTTAAAGTTATGCATAATTAATATCCTTTCTTCCCACTGCTGTCAGACTTTACAACCAGCACTGCTCCCAGTAGGCCGCACGGAGAAAAAAAACTGTCATATTCCACTCCAGTACAACATCAGCACACTTAAACCTGTGCTATGAATAATTTGTGCACTTAAAACGCACTGTGCAATATTTTTTTTTATATATATATAGAAGAATCTGTACAATGTCAATATTTTTTCTAAATATAATAATAATCCTGGGCAGTATTGTTATTTTCCCACGCAAAGGGTTCTGTGCAATACCTGAATTTCTGCATATAGGAGAATCTGTACAATAACTATAGTATCTATGCATTTTTCTTTTTATATTTTCTGCAGACGTCAATATATTTTTTGCACTTTATCCTTTTGTTGCTGTGATGCTGCACATTTCCCTACTGTGGGATTAATACAGGCTGATCTTATCTTATCCTGATAAGGGGCGTGGGACAGTCCTTGCAATCACAAGCTACAATCATGCTCTGTGTCATGGCCCATTTTTAGATTAGCTGCGAGTTAGTGCATTTGACATCGTACTTATTGGCTCATTCTAAATCTTTTTTCTGGTATGCTGTATTGTTTTAGTATTGGGTTTGGAACGCATCCTAACTGCTCTTCAACAATCCTATGGGCAACCTCCTGGAGGGTTTTTGTCTATCCTTATATTCAGTCTGTGATTAGTCTCTCAGGGTCAGACTGTCAACACAGGCTTTCACTGTAAAGCTCTGATGTGTATGAATAACCTAAATTATAGTGTGATGGCTTTAGAATCCCCCAACCGCCCTCTACACTTATTCACAGTGTGTTGATTGCACAGAATTTTTTGGTTGCAACAACACAATAGTTGCTCCTCACCCACCCTTCTTACAGGATGTGGCTTCCTACAACTTCTTCCTCTTCCCCAAAAAGAATTTAAGTTGAAGGGTGTAGACACAGTGGATGAGATCCAGCATCATATCAGATAGTTCTTGATGCATGTACTGAACAGGACTTTGAGCTGGTGCTCCGAATGTTGTGGGAGCAGTGTGACCAGGAGGCTAACTCCAATGGCCAAATTTAATTCTGGTTTTATATGCAACTGCACCTCATATTTTTTTTTGCGTCTGTCTTACGTGTCAATGTGTATTTGTATTTCCCCACCTCCTCTGCAGGGTTGATGTCCACGCCCTTGTTGAGCTGATCCTGAAGCAGCGACACCATGGCGTTGTTCCCGGGGACTCGGTAGATTCCGGTGTATTCCAGACCCATCTCCTCCACCAGGCCACAGCAGATCTCCACTATCATGGGGATGAACTGGAAAAACAAGATGGACACATAATGAAAAAATGGAATCACAAACATGAAGAAGAAAGACGTACTTGTCTGCATTCAGGTGGAGGTTACTGTGGCTCACCTTGTTATTTGCACCAGGTTGACATTCCTCTAACCGCACACCGAAAGCTTTGGGCCCGGCCTTCTTTGTCTTCTTCATGATGTTGATTCCCCACGGAGACTTTGGAGGGCTGCTCTCATCTGGGGGACACAGAATGGAAATAGAATTATGAATACAGCACCTACAAATGTGGGATTGAATAAGAAGTTATTTTTAAGTTATTTATTCATTTTGTTTGGTCTTTTTAATTCTGATTATTTTCTGACTTGTCTGTTTATATTGCTGTCTTGTAAAGCAATTTGTTAGATACTTAATATGAGTGTGTTTTGCTAAAATATACCAGAATATTTATTCATACCTTGGAATTATGTACTTTTCCCTTTAACACCGCACATATCTTTATGTGCCACTTACAGTAAACGCACCGTTTTAGTGATTTATCTTGGATCTAAGGATTGTTTTAATTTTTGTTTTGCATTTATATTTATATTATAGTTAAAAAAAAACTGAACAAACTTCACCTTTCTTAGTGACAGTGTTACCTGTTAGCGGAGTAAATAAACTAATTATTACCCCTTTAAAAAAACTGAATTGACCATAGTACTGGTAAAATTGAAGAAGTTTACGGATGACAATCTCACTTAATCGAAAACTGTAATTTAGCCGACAACATTGGAGATGTACACTAACAACAATTCATGCAAAGGTGCCTTTACAAAATAAGTACATTTGAACTGTGAGAGAAATTGTGGCTGAACACTGCTCCAATTATTTGTTATTTCGTTTAGTTTTTTGGTTTCTAAAAGATGACAATTACAGCTTTATGCACAATCAAGTTGTTTGCACCATGTGCTTTATAAATTGTTCGGTGAATAATATGCACATACCTATTACTTTTTTTTATCATTTAAAATTCCTTGGACTTGCCATTTTTTTTGACTTTTATCACTTGCTCCTTATTTGTTTTGGAAGATCCTTTGTCTGTCTTTAAAAATCCTCTCTTTATCAGTGTTTACTGTTATGTGACAAATCACCACATCAAGTTCCTCAGGTGTGAAATGCTGCTTTGCAACAAAACTGATTGTGATTCTTAAAAGAGAATGAAAAGCAGTTTTCATGCTCTACATTTAGCAAATACAGCCAGCGTGGTTCATTTTTCTGACCTTTGCCTTCTGGTTTCGGGGACCGTGGCGCTCCGGCTGCGTTCTCCGTCTTGTTGAGCAGGAATTGAGGCTTCATCCGCGGCATCCTGGGAGACGAGTCTGGCTTGCTGGACGTTGGGCTGCAGGGGGAGACAGAGAGATGAGTCCAGCTTATTACAATTAGCTATATTTGCTTTAACTTGACAGGTTTGCTGGAGGCGCTGGATCTTGTACCAGGTGATGCTGGCCAGAGACAGACGACTGTCCACTGCTACAGAAATATTTTGAGTTGCAAATCAACCCAACCTGCATATATTTGCACTGTGGGTGGATACAGTCCATTCACACAGGGTGAGAACATGCAAACTAAACTCAGAAAGGCCTCAGAAGAGTAGGATGTACCATCACGTGGCTCACCTTTGTTTTCTGTAATCATTGAGCTTCTTATTGATGAGGGCCTGTCTGGAAAAGCCAAGCTCCTGCAACAACAAGCACATCTGCATTATGACTCCATTTAAAGGTGCAGTTTGGAAAAAGTCTGACAGGTAAAGGCGTGTCCTCTGACCTCGCTGTCCGTCTTGCTGTTCTCCCTGATGACCTTTATCCAGTCCAGCATGTCCTCCCGGTCCTCCGCCTGCAGCAGGTACTCGCAGAAGTCCTGGGTGGTCAGTCGCAGGGCGTGCTTCCTCTTGGTCTCGCTGTACGCGATGTCCACCAGGCAGCCCCGGATGCTGATCGGCTGCTCGTCCTCGGCCGAGCCTCCGATCGTCGCCCCTCGGAGCACCGCTTCCCTCTTGTCCTTGTAGAGGAACAGCGAATGGGAGCGAAGAACGGAAAAGACTCGCTTCCAAGGACGCATGCCGCTGCCCACCTTCTGCAGAGGAAAGATGAGAAGTGGTGTGAGTGACTTCTGTAAAAGCGTTACAGCTTTCATCACCTTCTACTCGTGCCTTCAGCGCCCACCTTGCCCTTCTCTGTGAGGATTTGTTTGAAGTGCAGCCATCCTTCTCGCCGGACGTCGCTGTAGGTGATGTTTCCCAGCTCTGAGGTGGAGTGACGTTTGGAGCGAACCTCCTCTGCTGTACCGAGGTTGTCCAGAGACTGAAACACAGGCAGCAACATGGTCAGGACATTAGTTGATATGTCGATTTGTTGACTTCAACATCCAATCCTCTAATATCCAATTATTGTGATGCTCACAACGTTTCTGCTGTGGTTTTGTGTCAACTTGATGTTCATCTTGAAGCATTTTTAAAGTTTATTTTAACTCTCTAAACTCAAAAACCTACTTAAATCTAGGTTTGAAAGGTATTTAAAAAACAAATTACACCTTTATTCGAGCCAGAATCCATAAAAATAGAAATAATCGTCTGATTTTCAACTTTCCAATGACCCTTGAACTACTCATCTGTGAAGTCCTCTAACATCAAGTGAATTATTCAAATCTAAGCTTCAAACCGAGATATTTTTTTTTATCATAATCACTTTTTCGGGGGAAAATTTTAAAAAAGAGACATTCTACATGTCTCACCTAAAAATCTGCTATAAATTAAATATTTACACTAAGTAGATTCTGTTAAAACTGAAAAATTCTGTGCTCCTCTGTGCAACTGTGAAGCCATCAGTGACTCAGCTGTGACTAACACTCATGTCAGAAAAATTCAGCGAATTCCTGACTGAACTGGGCTGAACTTCAGGCTGTGTTGACACAGAGCAGATAGGAGACCAGTGTGGAAATTGATAGGAGACAAGTACGGAAACTGATTAAAAATGTAAATAGCAAAACATCTATGGTTGGCAGAGTCACCATTTTCCAGGGTTGATAACACCTGTGGACACATGGAAAAATGTTGTACATTCTGATTCAACTTTTACATTTTTTTCCCCTAAAATAAATATTTAACAAATTCAACCTTTGCTCTTTTTTTATGACTTATGGCTTTATAACTCACACAAACCGTCCAGAAACTGCTTGGAGCTCAGAGAGTTAGTGCTTGTCTGACTTGTATCATGGCCAAAGGGGTTTTCCAGTTTGTCTTTCCAGTGACACATTTAGTCATGATTTGTGAGTCTTGCTACATTACAGCGTCTTGCAGCAGACGTACCGTCGGTTCAGGCAGCAAATGTCTGACGTCTACGTGCCTGTGTGGCCACATTTGACCATAAAAACTTACAGAAGAAGTTCCACATTTTTCCTCGCAAAAATAAAAAGCTGATTGAAGAGGCGATAAAATGCTCACTTGCTCAATTTAATAAACTTGGTCTGATGAGAGCAGCAGCTCACAGATCAAGGACGAAGAATATGTTTAAGAGCAAATCATTGTACAGCCAGAGGGAAGTACATAATCCAAACAACAATAATTAAAAAATAATACAACATAAAAAGATATTTATAAGGCCAGCAGGGACAAAAGAGTTTTTTAGTCTCTTTGTCCTGCTTGTTGGCTGTTTGTATCTGCAAGCAGACAGCAGCAACTTAAACTCTTTGGATCAGAGAGGTCCTCCAAGGTTGTGTCTGCCATTTCGCTGCTCACTTGGACGATATTGTACAATCTGCTTCTATTTTTGATGCTAAGTGAGCAGCTGCCAAACCAGAAAATGAGGACTGATTCAATAAAGCAGGAATAAAACATTTTCCTGAGGGTTAAAACTTAAGATAGAAGCACAAGACAGGCTTTTCTGCATACATAATATTCATTTATATAAGATCAGTTAAGCCAAATGTAGCAATGTGAGTGACATTACTGACTCATTTCATTGACTTTACGACTCTTTTGCACTTCAGAAACACGTCAAAGGTTTTTTGATAAAAGTTAAACAAGAACTGAGACTCTTCATTTCAAAACTGAAAGTAAAAATGAAAGAAAATTTTTTAAAAAGAACCTCAGGCAACGTTTGCATGGATCACTTGTCTCAGGTGCTTTGGCAACTGTGATTTAAAACTTTTATCTAACTACAATAAATTAAAAGTTTTGGTCATGAAAGAGAGCAGAGGAATGACATGCAGTAATCAGTCGGCTATCAGGTGGCCATTAAAAGTCCTAATCCTCTGAACTTCAAGCTGTTTCTGGGTGTTTTTGGCTCCTGTTATTCACTGTGGGTTCATTTTTCACTGCAGTATAAAATCCTGCACCTCGATGGAAATAACACGGCCATGACTAGAAGGAGAGAGAACTGAGAAATGGCTTCTGTGCAGCATGATGTAGTTATAATGTCATAAATCATAGAAAAGCAGAAACAAAAGTTGCATCTCTTTGATTTCTTATTTTAGAAAAAAAAGGACATTTTTCTGAGTGTCCACAGATGTTCCTAATACTGTAAAAACAAATGCTGACTCTAAATATCATTTGACTATTTACATTTTTATTTAGTTTCTAGAATTGTTTATCTGCTCTGTTGTAAACACAATTTGTAGTTTAACCCAGTTCAGCTAAAAAAACATCTAAGAATATTCTCCTTGTGACTGTTTGTCACAGTTGATTTAATAACAACTTCTTGGTTGCATTGAGTAAAACAGATTTTTTTTTTCCTTTTCTACATAATCTGATTAGAGTAAACTATTTATTTTTTAATTTATTTATTTTAAAAGAGACATTTTGAGAGAGATTTTCATGAAATCTAACATTTTTAAGCTGAGATTTAGTTCATTTTCCTCATGGAGCGACATGCTACAGATGAGTAGTTCAAGATCTGTCGGAAAGGTGACAATTCCTTCTGTTTTTACAGTTTATCTCTTGTGTAATTCTGCAACATGGCTGGTTTGGTGGTTCAGATGGTAAATATCATGTTTTTGTGTCTTGATTTGTTACTAAAATAGAAGAAAACTATATTTAACTAAATGCAAATGCGTTAAATATTGTCTTTTTGGCTGCATGATGCCCGAATTTGCATGCAGTTTGACTTTTGTTTGAATTTTTTTGACACATCAACAACACACAATGTGCTGCTTTATATGTAATAAAAAAAATGAACTCACCCCATCTGTGAAGAAACTCTTCACTCTTTTTGGCAGCCTCCTGTGGTAAACAACAACACAGCAAAGAGTCAAAATGCCTGCGTGCACACACAACAAATCATTTTTATATCCAGTAATGTCCAGAACTCACAGGACTCGTCCTTCCTCTCTGAACGTGTTGAGTCCTTCGTCGCACGACTTGGAGCGCTCGGTGGTGATGGCTAGAAGATAGGAGGAACGGCGACTGGATTTAATACTGCCTGCTCGGTGAGAGGATGAATGAGCGGAGAGAGACGGAGAGAGAGATGAAGAAAAGAGGAAGACAGAGAGAAAGACAGAATGTTGATGTAATGCCAATCACCGGAGTGGATGGTGTTGGATTAGAAGACAATGAGGGAGGCAGCAGCAGCAGGTGGAGGAGGAGGAGGAGGTTTGGGTGGGGTTTAAGTGATGTGGTGGAGATGGACATGAGCTGGAGCCGTGGGTTAGATTAAAGTCTCTCTGGGCTGCTTTCCCACCACTAGCATGCAGGTATAATCTCTGGAAATACAGACTGACATGCAGCGTGCGCTCGTTTGAAGCATCATGCAGATCTGAGTTTTTAAATTTAACTGTAAAACACACCAAGCTTCTGGGCTTCATGCACAGCTACAAAAATAACCAACCCTCCTCTGAACAAACATCTGTAACTTCCTTTAAAACTCAGCATGCAAACATTTCATATAACACTGCTGAAAACTTCATCTTGCCAAGCAATTTATGTCTGTTATTGAGCCCTCAAAGTGAAGTTTTGGAGTTCAGTAAGAACTGTTTCCAATAAAAAGCAAGAATTACGTGAATAGAAATGTCAATATTATGAAAGAAAACTGTGTTATTAGTCTGACTCCTGCACTTGAATCATGAGAATATGCATGATACTTGCAGGCGGGAATTGTGGGATTTATTTTGTTTTCTCACAAAAAGACTTGTAGGACTATAACAGACTGAAAATGCTTGATAAGATGGAAATTAAAGCAGTGAAGGATGCATTCTTTAACCCTCTGAACCTCAGGAGCCTCAGTTTCAAAAGCATGTCATCTTAAAACAATAAACAAATGAGAAAAAAAGCACTGAATTATACTGTTTATCAGAACAAGAAACTGTTAAAACAGAAAGAATTGTTGGATTTTCAACTTTGACACAAGATTCAGTCAGGAAAATTAACCCATTCTAATCTTCAAAATCAAGATATTTAATCAAAATCACTTTATTCTACAAGTCTCAATTAAAAATTTGCCAAAAAAATAAAAAATGAACCATTTGCTTGAACCATATTTGATAAAAAACAAAAAATTCTGGACCTCTCAGTGCAACAGAAAATCAAATAGTGACTCAGCTGTAAGCAACAGTCACATAACAATTTAAAATGTACACATGTAAATATCTATAGCATGTAGAGTGACTGTTTTTTTTCCAGTGTTGGTAAAACATGTTGGAAAAATGTTGTACATGTTGATTCCAGGTTTTATAATTTTTTGTAAAATGAATCAAGAAATCATACTTTTTTTCTTTTTTTTATGGTGTTATAACTGTCACACTGCACAAACATATTTTGGAGTTCTCTCTACTTTTAGCCATGTTTGGGTTGTTTCCATAGAGGTGCAGGACTTCATACTGCAGTGAAAAATACCCACAATGAGTAAAAATGTACAGGAGCAAAAGACGCTTGAGGTTCAGAGGGTTAAAATGCAACACCGGGTACAACAAACCAAGCAGGTTTTTAAAAAACATCTCATGCATGCTTCATAAAACCATCTCTGAAATAACATAACAAAACCTCAGATATTATTTTCTCCTGCATGCAGTGGCGAGGACGAGGAGGGAGGGAGGGAGAAACGGGGGAGGAGGGGGAGGCACTCACTGCAGTCGTGTGAGAAGAGCCTAGTGAGGGGGAAGGTGAAGGTGGGGGAGGCGGGGCTGGTGACCACGGCGGGCGCCGAACTCATGCCGCTGGACACCACCGAGGACGCCGGCACGTGGCGGGCGCGTAAGTCAGCGCCGGGGCTGGTCGGCTCGTCTGTGGGAGGCAGGGGGGGAGGAAGGCGAAGAGGAGGGGGAGGAGAGGAAAGGGTGACAGGGTTAGGTGTTAGAGAAAAAGGTCAGGAGGGAAGGAGAAAGGAAAAAATAAGGGGTTAGATAAGGAGAGGAGAGGAGTTTGTAAAGGAGAGGAGCGACGAGGAACCGCAGGGTTACCATCAGCATTCAGTTAATCTTTACATCTCATTCTTTCAGCTGCAACACAACAACCACACAGTGAAGTACACAAACGGTCATTTATACATCCACAGAAGAGGCTAATCGCACTAAAACCCTCTCAGGAGAGAATGAATGGAACTGCAACCTGACTAAAGTGAGAGAAAGTCTTTGTAAAGTAGGTGAATAGCTGCCAGATAATACAGTACCTGTGTCCTCTGCTGCCATAGGAAGAGTTATTCTGCAGCTAAGCTTGTGATGGAGATTTACCAGCTCCAGGTTTCAGTTCTTTATCTACAGTTCAGCGTGTGATCGGATACAAGCAATCAAGAATGCTGCAATCCGACAACTGCAGAACCGATCACTCGACTTAAATAAACATTCATTTTACGTTTTGATGGAGCTTCAGTGTTCAAATAGACAAAGCAGCAAATAGCAATTTTTGTGAAGCACACAGGCTGCAAGACTTGAACAGTTTCAGCTAAAGGGATATGAAACCGAAACGCACACAGACTTCCTGACAGGCAGAAACGATTACAGATATTTGCATAAAATGAGTACGAGCTGGATTTGACATTTTAAACAGTCAAGAGGGCCAGTTGGTGTCGATTCAGACAGAACGCAAGAAACATGTTGCTGCAGCGTCTCAGAGTTTGTTCATGAATGTGTTCCTTGGGGCCAAACACTATAAAATCTTTTGGCAGGTTTTAGAGATTTCATTTTTTTTTCTCACCGAGGAAATCTTCAGCTGAGAACTCATACTTGAGGTTTACTATCTTTAATCATGTGTTGCCATTCTCAAATGGTAAGGAAAGGTCTGTGTTTATCGTAAGAAATGTGGACACAATCATATATATACATCACAAAGCAATATTTGCATGTTTTACTCTGCTAAAGTCATGTTACTTAATTTTGCTGATTTTAAACATACTTTTTAAAGAAAGAACTCAAGATGTACATGCTTTCAATGGCTTTTAGCTGCTCTTAATGGTCTTAATATTTCATATTTATTTTTAGTAATTTACAACTCACAAATAATCTAAAAGTTACTATCTTTTTTTTTTGTATTTAAAAAAAAAAAATCTTACTAATTGATTTTATATATTTGTTATATTCAATTTTTTGACTAGATTTTTCTGGCACCATTTCTGGCAAATTTTTTTACCTTTTTTTCATAAATTCTTTTCTTCAAAATTGTGCATTTTTGTTTTTGTTTGTTTGTTTTTTCTCCATTTTCAAGCACCAATAATTAAAAACTTGCCCTCCACTGGACCCATTTGATCATTTAGATTTGCTGGAATCTCTTCTCTTTGTGTCTTCATCACATTTCATGGCTGCAAAGTTATATTTCTGGAGATATTGAACCCTAAAACTGACTTCTTAAGTATGATATTTTTATTTTGAGGGTGAAAATGCAAACGTACAAACTCTGAAAACATATGAAAGTATCGAACTACAGCTGAAATATTTTACAGAACTGAGTTTTGGATCAGAATCTGAGACGGTGGAGCAACATCACTATAAAACCGACTCTGGACTGCAATGCTGTAAAGCTCCACTGCTCCGACAGCAGAGGGCAGCACAGCCTCAGACAGCCTCAGTCCGCCTCCCACACAGATGAACCACCACATGGGCTTTTTACAAAACTCTTGCTCTGGTTTCTAATTTAATTTTCCATTCGCCCGGTTTCATCTCCTCTACCCCATCGTGATCTTCATCTCGTCCCTTCTTCTCGTCGGTTTCTTTCCGTCTCCCACCCTTCCATTCTTTCACCCCTGTGCACATTAGAGCCCCGACATCAGGCGGAAAACATTCCCGATCTGGGATGAGGAATCTGCCTGTTTACAGCTCGGCCCAGAAATAGCCGGGCTGTGGGTTTAACAAAGGCCGTCATTAACAGGCAGCCAGAGAGTGAGCTCAGAGCCACAAGACGGAGTCGGACCAGCAGAGGGGAGCAGCATCCTGCAGCTCAGCGAGGCCCGACTCTGCAGGACGCGGTATGGATATAACACATGTGGAGTTCAGCAATCACAGAGGAGAGCTGGGAGGAAAAAATTCCCTAAAACTCACGGGATTACTTAAGAAAAGCATTGTAGCCAAGTGTAGAGTGAAGATGTCTTGATTTAGGTACTGAAAAATGACATTTACAGTCATAGGAGTTGGAGTTTGGGTGCTGCTGGCAAAAACTTTCACTACATTGGTTTAAGAAATAAAAATAAAAATCAAGAAATGTCACTATTTCTGAATTAGTTTGCACCTTTTAGGTATTTAGTTGCCTTTTCTTGGTCAAATTAACGTCTTTTTTTATAGTATTTTTATGTATATTTTAGTGTGTCTGTTGCCAGGACGAGATCTTATCACATGAAAAAGAATTTATTGTTACAAAAACATGACAGCACTGTGAAATTCTCTCTCTCTCTTTTTTTTGTTTCTTTCTTGTTTTGCAAATCCCAGCTTGTTAGGAGGTTGGGGTCAGTGTGCAGGATCAGCCATGACAAGTGGCCCCTGGAGCATCTTTAGGCTTATTTGTTATTCAGGACCCAAAAATAAGTTCAGTGAAATGTTTTTAGTTGAATTTTGAGAATCTCATGTTTTCAGATGCAAGAATTTTGAAACAAAATGAAAACATCTAACCTGAAAAGTCATTTTAAGGGTTCAATACCTCCAGAAATAAAACTACCACAGCCATGAAATTTGTTGAGGACACAGACAGAATTGTTTGCTGGTGGATCTACATGATTGAAATGCTCCAGCAGTTGCCACAGTTTAGATAACGTGCAAAACCTTAAAACAAGGGTGATATTGGGGCCCTCAGAAGATCCTGTAGGGGTGAAGAGTGGCAGCATGGCGGTCACTGATCAGTAACACAGAGCCTCAACCACTAAAAATATGATAATCCTAAATTGGCCAAATTACTATTTCAATTACAGCAGCAACAATAAATTGAGTAGTTGTCACCTAATAAATTAAGCAGCAACAATTTGGATAATCAGATAATCTGTCAGTGTAATTCTTTGAAGAAAGAGTGTCTTGAAAGTAAATATTTTCTCATTTCTTTCCTCCTTTGTGAGAGTAAATTGAATATCTTTGGGTTGTGGCCCAAACAAGACATTTGATGACTTCATATTGGGCTTTAGGAAGCTCTCATCACTATTTCCACTATTTTATAGACCAAACAACTAGACAGTTAATCAAGAAAATAACAGACAAATGAATCAACTATAGTAATAATAATAGTTCTAATTTAAATCAGCTAACAAACTAAGCTTTAGTGTCAACGTTTTAAGTATTAATCAGTTGTTTGGTTTATGAAATGCAGATCACAACCTCGTAAAGACTTTGATGAAGCTGTTTGCCTTTTAAGCAGCTGGGATGAGTTCAAATTCACCACTTTTCCTTGACATAAACAATTAATTAATTATGATAATGGTTAATTTTCTGTTGTAGATCATCTGCTGATTAATTTTGCTGACTGTTATAGCTGTAAAAGCAAGACTATGAATCTCAGTAAGGAGCTGGTGACAACTTTTTGGTTTAATGCCCAGATTTGGAAAACGAGCGACAAAATTAAGGTTAAAAAAAAAAAGAAAAAGAAAGAAAGAGCCAGAAAATCCAAGAGAAAACAGTAGCTGGTGCCTGTAAGACAACACTGAGGGCACGAGGCATGCTCAGGATGTCTTGGTCCTGATTTGTTGTGTTCAGGGTCCGGCTTGTAAAGACAGTCATCGACAAAACCCCCCAACACACCCACACAGACACACAAACCCCTTCATGTAGCAGAGCAGCACAATAGCAGCATTGAATCCGAGTGTTCGGGCCCCTGCTGTTTCCCACAAGGACCACGACTAAAACCTCCTGGTAATTTACAGCTCGGATTGAAAGGCTCCGAGTGGGCGCAGAGTAAAATACTGCAGCTGTTGACACTTTGCATGAGCGGCGCAAACACAGAAATATTAAATACTTCATCAAAGTTCGACTGCTCTTAATGCAAGGAGTCATAAAATCATATCTGCCTCTGCACACAGCTCGCCTTTGTGCTCGCCATCTCGCAGACATCCGAGCTTTGCAGGCAACAAGGAAAAACAACAGAGTATGAAATTGCGAGTCCCCAAACAGATCGTATCAGCATCTGTGTCAGAGAGATAAAGAGATGGAGAAGGAAAGGAAAGAAAGAACGAAGAGAGGAGCTACTTCTTCTGTGTCTATGGGGAGAAACTAGCCTAGTTTCAGTTTATGGCCATTAAACATGTCCCGGCCTGCAGCTCTGACTGCGTGGTTTCGTTTAATTCAGGTGAAGGCAAGAATGCGCTCTGACAGACAGACTCGGGGAGATGCCTCCGATCGCCTCTTTAACCGACTTTCTGGGGCAGAGTTTGGATCGGTCATCCCAAGACGGGTTGAAACCTCCCCCGTCCGCTGATTTAAATCTACTCTGCATCGGGGTTGAAGAGTCTCCGGGTGATGGAGCCACGTCTCGGCTCAGAGACTAACTTCATTTGCCTACGGTTTGACTTCATGGCTGCCGTCCACGTCAAAGATACGAACCAATGTGAGGCCTGCGGGGCCCCTTTTTTCTCTCCGAGTGTTTTCAGAGCAAAAAAGCGAGCTGGGACATGATCCCAGTCGCCTCCCACTGACAGATATAGGCCATAACTGTACAGTGCCTCATGAAAACAAATGTTTGGACTCAACAAAAAGCAGCAAGCATCAGTCTTTTTGAGTTACGACAACTTCTAGAGAAATTATGCTCAACCAGCAAACTATATTGAGTTTGAGGAATTAGTCTCTCCTCTACAGTCACTGATGCATAATAATTGGTAGCATAAACATGTGTTTTTGGGTTATAAAGGACTTAGTTAGGTTATCAAGCCAATTTAATGAACTTACTAAACTCGAACTTTGTTTGAAATCAATTGCCACAGATAGCTGAGTTTAAGTTACACCCAATATTTGACCTTGTGCACTTATGTCAACTCATCAAAATCAATATTTGCAACTTCAGTGGTTTATATAAATCAATAGATATATACTTTTTTTTAATCTTACAACCATGTATTTAATTATGTAACATATCCATTGATTTTAAAAATCACTTAGTGCCAAGTCAAGAGCTTCCTTTAGTCAAAATCCTCTGATTTCAGATTCTTAAATGTGAATACTTTCTTATTTCTTCTTCCTCTATGACAGTAAACTGAATATGTTTGAGTTAAAAAAAAATCTTGGGCTTTGGGAAACAACTGACATCTCATTGACCAAACAACTAACTGATTATTCGAGAAGCTAATCAAAAGTGAAAACAGTCGCCCTCGTGATGAGAAATATCTCAGTTTCTGACATCAGATTACCATCTCTGAGCTTCTTTCAGTGACGTAATGGTAAACCATGGATTTGGGAAACACCGATTGACTTCACTTTCACATTCTCAAGTTTAGGCTAAAGGTCTTAGAAATTTTAAATACATAGTTGGTGAGATCAAAGGCAGTGGACAAAGCTGCAGACGAGTTTAAAAACTAACAAAAAGACACAAAAAACTGACTCTGCTCATGTGAAACTGCAAATTATAGCAGTTTCCAGTTCAAAGACAAACAAAAACTAGAAAAAGTAAGTTACCAAACTAATCTAATTGACTTATTATGATTTTGAATTTTGTTTTTAAACAATTAACAAGGATAATTTAGTGCAAATTCACAATATTGAGTTAACGTAATTATCAACATTATTAAGTCAACACAACTCATCAAAACTATGTCTAAATGACTAAAAGACGCAAGAAACAGACTCAACTGATGTGCAACTGCAAATTGTTACAGGTCAGTGTGCGACAGGACTTAAATCTGTAGCTCACACACAAACAAAAGCCAATATTCAAGGGCTCCACCTCATTTCCTCAGCACAGAGAGGTGACCTTAGAGTCCGTGGACAGGCAGCAGGATTACTGAATTCCCATCAGATATGATTCAATCTTACTACTAATACTGTCTGTAAGACTGTGGGAAACTCCATTATTACCCAACACAAACATTCACAGACGAACACAGACGGAGAAGCCTGAACAGACAGACAAGAAGGAAATTAAGGAAACACACACATTCCCCAAACTCTGAATTACAGCTCTGCATTTCCTGTCAGCGAAGCTTTCACTAACATTCAATAAACACTCAATTTAGAACAGAGGTGATGAAATCTGAAGGTCACTTTGAAGTTGAGGGAAACTAGGAAGCTACGCACCTATGAAGGGGATGGAGGCCAGAGAGTCGTCCTCTATGGGTAGGGGGGCGAGGTTGCCGTTTGGTTTGCGTGGGGCTACGTCTCCCGTGGAACCGGGGGCGGGGGCCGAGTCTTTGGGATCAGGAGAAAACAAAGAGGGTTCCAGCCCGTCCATAGGCAGGGCGTAGTGGGGGTGACGCATGCCGTGGGCGTTCCTCCGCCCGGTGGGGGGTTTCTGCCTCATCACCACCTCTTGGGTCTGCGCCGCCAACTCTGCCTCCGAAGCCCCTCGTTCTCTCTCGTGGTTGGTGGGCCTGTACGCTCTGTCCTGGGACTCGGGGTTTGCGGAGGCGAGGGGGGACGCAGTGGAGGTGGTGATGGGTGCCGGCGTGCCGTCCGCAGGTGCTGGGTTCCAGTTCAAGTGGGGGCCAGAGTACGAAGGGTCCCTGAAAGAGTGAGCCTGTTGCATGATGCGGCCCGTTTTGCGGTAGAAAGAGGGGCTGTAGCTGCGGTAGCCCACCGGCTGGTCATCCATGCTCTGCCCCGGAGGTAGCCGCCTGCTCTGAGGGGCCGCCTGCTGGGTCTGGGTCTGGGTCTGGGGGTGATGTTTTGAATGCGATGGCCGGGACACCGGAGGAGCTTGTGCTGCACCAAAATGGCTCCCCTGCCTCGGGTAGGCGTCAGTCCTGGGGGGCGGCTGGGGAGCCTGCTGGAGCCACGAAGGCCTCTCAAACCGAGGCGAGACCAGTCCTGATGCTGCTCGGTCCAACATCTCCAACGAGCGGCCGTGGCGATCGTACTGGGCGAGCAAATTCTCAGAGCGTGTTCGAGTGTAGTTAGAAGACTGGTGGCCCCGACCTGGACCCCCCTCCCAGTCTCCGTACGACCAGTAGGGTTCACCATGCGGCCCTGGTCCGGACTGCTGCAGTAGAAGCAGAGTGTCCTGGGAGGCGCTGTGTGGCCAGCCACCTGACCGCTGCTGCTGCCTCCTTGATTCACTGAGCCGGTCTTGAGAGTAGCTGCGGTGGCGGGTCTGCATGCTGCGTCCTGAGCGCTCCGGCAGCTGGCTGTAGTACCAGTCTGACAGGGCCTGCTGGCAGCGCTCGGAGCGGCCGGGGCCACTCTGGGGCAGGGGGGGACTGGTCCAGGCCGAGCTGGACTTACGTGGCTGAGCTTGCGAGGAGCTGGCACCGTGGTGGTTGGGGTAGTGGACTTGCAGCGGGCTGGACAGGGGGCCTCCTGAAGAGGAAGAAGACGAGTAGGAGCGCCCCCTGGTCTGACCCTGCGGCTGCTGGCTGGTCATACCGTACTGGATCTCCTCTGTGCGGTGAGCTGGGCTGCTGTGACCCACGCCGCCGGGTTCGCCCGCCCGCCCCTCCTGCCAGCTGGCGGGGCTGCCCACAGCAGAGCGGTTGTCCAAAGGGGATGAAGGGCTGGAAGAGCCTGGCCAGCGACTCCAGTTATCCAGCTGGTTCTGGCCCATGGGGGCAGACAGCGGGGCTCCAGCGAGGGGCGTGGTCTTGGTGCGGGGGTAACAGAGGGGAGGCGGTGGTGGGAGGTTCTCGGCTCCCCCGGCATACGGTTCGTTACCCGTCAGGTAGGCATCCTGGGAGTACGCCTGGAGGGGGAAGACACGACAATAAGAAATCCTCAAGTAAAAAGACGTGCGCGTCACTTTAAATCAAAATGTGCTCTTACTGTAAACAAGTTTGACAACAACACACAAAAGCCATAACTCTATAAGACGGCGTCACGTCGCTGCACATTACACAACACGCCTTAAAGACGAAGGATCGCTCAGTTCAACCCCTTTGCCACAGTTTGTCTCCAGGGCCTGAGCTCTCAACACAAATTCATGCAAGCTAGCAAACTTTAAAAAAAACCCACAACACTCAGTGCACAGCAGCCAGCTGCAAATACATACATCTCCGCCAATGTTATGTACACAAGTGCCAGATATAAATACACACATGTCGCCGCTTCAAGAGTATCCCCTACAAATCACAAGCTTATCATTATCCGATTACTTTATCAATTATACATTTAAGGAAAAACAAACTTGCTAAACCGCACAGACAGTTCTAATTGCCCAACAGAAGCGTTTCCTCAGCCGGTGTGTTAAACTCACCACAAACAAACACAGAGTACAAGACAGACTTATCCTCAAAACCTGCTGTCCTTCATCTCTTTATCCAGTCTTCTGCTTCTACACTTTTTCGTGAGTTTCCTACGTGTTGATCGTCTTGTTTTCTACTCTCACAGCTCCTTCCAAACTCCCTCTCTCCTCCCTCTCATTCTCTGCCTCACTCCACCCTGTGGGAGTGTGGAAGGAGGCGCAGCGCTGGTGATGTCATGCCAGGAATGCGGCAGATTCAGGCGTAGCAGCGAAGAGGAGGAGCGTGAGGACAGAGGAGTGGGTTTATAAAGTTAAGACATGGCAGTGTGCCTAAAAGGAACAAGTTTTAGGGGTTGCTTTTTGCAGGAACAGTGACGTTTCTGTAAAGACGATCGCCTAAATCTGGCGATCTGATTGCTGTGTGAAGCTCCAGGTTGGTAGGAGGAGCGAGGGATGATGCATGTCGGATCATGTGAACGAGCATGAAGCGACCTGTGGAGCGACAAAAATGCGTTGTACAGCACATTGGGCGTGTGAATGATCACGGAGCTGCTTTTTTTTTTTTTTTTTAAACTCCAACAGTGGAGATACCGGCGGCTTTTAATGAACGTGTGTTGTAGTCTAAACACAGAGCAGAGAGAACGTGAGTCACTCTGCAGCCATTCTAGCAAAATCTCTACATTCTTGGACAATGACGGGGTGAATCCTGGTTCAACTTTGCACACAAGCACAGCAGAATTTTCACAGTTTTCTGCAGCGTCCTGAAGTAGTGTATGAAAGTGTGTTATTTTTGAGGGTAAAAAGTGTGCGAAAAATCTCATACTCACACTTACCAACTGAAGCACGTCTTCGTCTTTTGGCATGATGGAGAGCTCCAGCACACTCTCACTGCAAGCATGAAGATAAACAAGAGATAAATGTGAAAATTTCTCAATTCCACTAAAAGGTAGTGGCTTTACATTCAAATTTTCTACTTGCTGCATGATAAAATTTAACAAAATCTGACTTTTTTTAAAAATTGAAAACGTTAAGCAAACTTAAGCATTAAGTCATGATGAAGTGTGCACCAGCTCGGGACACACTGATCTGATCCACTGAGTCAGCCTCAGGGTCAATACTGACTTCATTAAGTGGATCCGCTATTGAGCAGGTGCATCTGATTCGCATTAAATAGTTTCTTAATCAATGTTAGTGTTAACTTTTACTGCTCACTCTGTTTTTATTGCCACAGTAATCTCTGGTTGCCCTATAAAGATTATCCGAGTAAATTCCACTAAGTGCATAACACAGATTTCAATATTGTGAAAAAGAGAGCTGATACTGGATTAGGCAGGTATTGTGTAAAGAGATGTCTCAAATACAACGAGTCAAGCATTTCATTTGAGTCTAATAGTAATTACCAGAGCTGATTTCATTTTTGTGAATTCTGGTGACATTCAAAAGTACATAACCCACCAGCAGGTTACAAAGGCGTGCTGTCTTTTTTTTTAAATGCCAAAATTCCACCATTTATCAGAGATAGAAACTGTAAAAAGAAAAAACTGTCACACTTTATCTTTCTGATGGTCTTTGAGCTAATTATCTGTGACATGTGACTCCATCCTATCTAAGCTGAAAATCATGATATTTCATCAACATTCCCTTTTGCTACATGGCTCATTGAACAATTTGCCAAAACAAACTATTTGCTTTCACCACATTTTGTGAAAAAGCAAAAAATCACGCCCCGTTTGGCACAAAAGTGAAGATAACAATGACTCAGCTGTGACTAAGAGTCATGTGAAAAAAATTGAGGGACTTTTTAGCTGAAGTGCAGGCTGTGTTTACACAGAGCAGACAGGAGGCAGCATGGAAACAGTCGTTTAAAATCTAGAATAAACAGTCTATAGTAGTAGTAGTGGCAGTAGTAAACTCCACAGTATGAAGAGCAGACATTTTTACCAGCTTTAAAAAAAAAAGATGGACATGTTGATTCCAGGTTTTCTCAATTTAAAAAAAAATTTTAATCAAAGAAATTAAACTAATGTGCTTTGCACGGTTGTGCTGTTTCCATAGAGGTACAGGATTTTATACTGTAGTGAAAAATGATCTAACAGTGAGTAAAAAATGTGACCGGAACAAAAAAAATCACCCAGAAACTGCTTGGAGTTCAGAGGGTTAATCGATTAAATGACATGTATTAATGCCACAAATATTACTGGCAGTTTTCTCTTAATTTAATTTAGTTTATTTTAAATCCTGACACCAAGATTTTCATTTTTACTGCAACTTTATATCGGTTTAAAATATGATTCTTGCTTTTCTTGATTTCTAATAATCAGTAGCAACCCTGAGGAACCTTTCTGGTTGACCCGTATTAGCAACTAAGGAGAGTAAATATGAATAATAAAATCAGGTTTCAGAGTCGAAATGAAAGAAAGACAGTCTTGGAAAATGTCTGATTGAAAAGCAGCCAATTTACTGGTGATAAAACGTGAGTCAAATCTAATTTCTGGGTTTGATCATGTTGAGCATGTGAGTGTACAGAGTACACAGCTTCAGGGTGTTGTTTTAAAACTAGGTCATAACTAATGCTAGCGGCTCGGTGTATATCATCTCTATGTTGAGCTGACAAAGGAGAAAGCAAACAGACGGTTTAGTAAATCAACACGGCAGAGGCTCCGATGGACTCACCTGTTCTGAATGAGGGCGATCACCTGCGAGTACGTCTTTCCCAGTATACTCTCTCCGTTCACTTTCACCAGCCGATCCCCTGCAGAACACACACAAATCATCGTGTTACACCTAACAAATGTGACACAAAGCTTTCTAAGTTGATCTCTGACCTTTGAAGCAGGTGGAAAAGGTGAAGAAACCAGGCAAAGGAGACACAGAAGCAAGAAATCCAGGAGCGAAAAATTTATGGTCGAAGGTGTGTCTGATTTCAACAAAACCAAAAACATGCAGGCAAAACAACAAGCTGAATGTCTGTGTGTAACGCTGGAGAAGAAACAGTACAAAACACCTCACTGTGCTTTTAATCATGATAGTAAAAAGGCGTGCATTTTAAAAATCAACCCATCAGTCACACTAAAATGTTTGTGCTGTCTAACAATGTAAAAAGCAGGTAGCATCTTAGCTTTCTGTTAACTATAGCCCCAAGAGAGTCAACCAGTTTGTATGCAAGCTGAAACACACACACCAGAGTGTTTGCATACGTTCATGTGACTTTCTGGATGTGACAGCAGGCGTTAAAGTGCGCCGCTTCGGTTTGCTGGGAGTGGACGGCAGCATGACACGACACAAACGCTTCAGCAGCTCTGTCACATTCAAATACTCTCCAGAGGCTGAGCTGTCGTACCGGTATCTGTATTATGTAACCAACGAAATCCTCATCCCCAGTCAGTCCAGCGCACAACCTGGTATTTGTTTTTATTCTTGGCTAACCCCCCCCAACCCCGTGCATCTGCTCGAGTCACATGATCGGCGCTCTTCCCAACAGATTTCCAATGCAAATCATGATGTTCCTGCACCATATGTTCCCTCCTTTTTACCTGTGCACAAACCCGCCTGGTGGGCCGGGCCTTTTTCTCTCACGTTCTTCACAAATATGGTGTCCATGGGCTCCAGTCGGCCTTTCTGATAACCTGGATGACATAAAGACAAAGAAGAAGAAATGCAAACATTAAACATTGTATCAGCTGAATTGCACTTATAACAAAAAATGCTAGAAATATTTAAAAAATTATGAGCTGCTGGTGTTTAAAGATGACACTTTTATGTTGTTAAACACTTGTGTTTAGGACAAAATTACACTGGCTCCCTATTCATTACAGAATTCTGTTTTAAACCACTGCATGGTCTGCCTCTTTGAACTTTTAATATCTCATTTTGCACCACGACTCTTCAGATCTGAGGCTGAAAACATAAAGGGATCATGCTTTTAGTGTTTTAGCTCCAACAATGTGGAATAAGCTCCCTCTTGACTGTCGGAACAGGCTTTTAAATAATATTTTATTCCTTCTTTGATGCTCTGTAACTGCTCTTTTTAACATTTTATTGCTGCTTTCTGATGCTTTGCATATTTCAGTGTTTTTGTGAACTGCCTTATAGCTCCAATTTTGAAAGGTTCCTTAGAGATAAGGTTTTTATTATATAATTATGATACTCCTCTTGGTTTAATACAGGACATTTACTGTGCAGGTGGATTGGTTTAGCTGCAGTGCTGCATTGTGTCCATTAGGTGGCGTAGAGCGGCTGTAGAGGTGACAGAGGGGGAATACAGGAACTCCCTGCTCATTACATCATCATCATCCTGCTGTAGTAGCAGATTTAATTATGAAAGAGAGACAACTCACCCTTTCCGTTACCGTTCTCCTCATCCTGCAAAGGACAGAAAGACACAGAATTACTATTCAAATTCAGCCACTTCATGCTGAATTCATCTTTAGAGCACATCTAAAAGGATAAAAAAAAATCATGTAACAGACATGAATTGCTAAATTAAAAATTCAGAGGATCCAAACAGAATAAGATGTAATAGTGATAGATGAGGGAATAAACACGTATAAAAAGAGTCACAGAGGTCAGCGTGGTCTCGAGAGATTCCCAAACTGAAAAGATAAAATTTTTTGGCTATTGAGGGTTTTTCTTTACAACTTTTTGACAAGTTAAGTTCTTAAACTTACAACACGACACAGTTTGAACTTTATCTACGTCTCAATGCTGAGCTGATGTACACAAGTGAAGCTTTCAATGATACAAACCACATAAAGGTGTCTCCAAATACTGGTAATAATCATGAGTTTAAAAAAAGTGAATATTGTAGCATGCTAATTGTACTTATGTGACAATAATCCAACACAACCAACTATGTGGTTGATACTTTACCAATATAAAAATGACAGACGGAACAATTAAGGCTGATTCATGGTTTTCGGACGACTGATGCGGACTTTAAAATCACACGACACTAAATACAAGTCAGTCTGCTGCCTCTCATATCAAACAGAGATAAATGGGTTATTTAAAGGTTACAGGTTGGACTGTAGCATCGTGTCACTGTGATGATTCCTGATGCGAGCTGAGAACATTGGTCAGACATAGCGCGGGATATCTGGAGAATTAACTGAATTTTGGTCTCCGTCAAAGCAAATTAAAGCATCTCCAAAGTCTGTCAGCGTCTACATAAATTCCAACTCTTTCAACCATGATTTATATGAATCTCTTCGTACAGTTTCCCCTTAAAACAATCATTAGGTTTAGGCACCATTTGTGTTCCTGGCGCATGTGCTGTTGACCTGCATGCATAGTCACAAATTTGGGGGCTGCGTGTGAACATCTACACCTTCATGGTTAAAATTCCCTACACTCTTATTTTTAGTGGATTCATGTGCCAAGAACAAAGAAAAAACGTGTCAGTTTATTCAATAGATATCAGGATATGATTGTTATCGCCGATCCCTGATAATCATCTAGACAAAATCTGACATCATGGCAGCCCTAAAGCTGTATTTTCTCTGCAACACCTCAAATGTGGAAGGGCAACCATGATATCAAACTTTCCCCCAGATACCGCCGGCTTTACCGACACCTCCAGCCAAAACTCTCGAGACAGACCGGTTTGATTTTATGAGCTCTGAATGTTGCGGCGCAGCTCCAACACCGAGACTGACTTTCAGGTTAGTCAGCCTGCAGGTGCTCATGATATCATAGCAAACAGGAGCGGAAAGGTGTGGACGGCGATGAGATTCGATCACCTACGCACTGGCACACTGAGCTGAGTGGACAGTTTGGGGTTAGGGGCACGGTGGGCTGACTGCTGCCTGGCTTTATGCTGCGCTGAGTGGGCTCATTCCAGGCTCTGCAGACAATGGTGGGGGGTTTAGAGGCAGAGAAAGGAGAGCTGCCGACCCCAGAATAGAACTTGGAGCCGGGGACGCTCGTAAAATGGCCAGTCCGGATCTCAACACAACCGGAACCAAGAAGGAAGACCCTCTAGTAGGAGGTCTATACATCTATTAAACTACCCGTAATTACCTCACTTTTCTACAGATACCTGTTAATCTAAAATTAAAGGCAACGAAATCATGAAATCAGCTAAAATGAAGTTGGATTTAATGCATTGCAGCAAATATCCAATTTGTGGACAAAACAAGACATTTAAAGACATCATCTTGGACTTTGGGAAACACTGTTTTTCATCATTTTCCGGCTCGTTTAATCGAGGAAATAATCTGCAGATTAATCAGTGGCAGCCCTGCATCCCAAAGTATAGTTACATTGAAGTATTTAACACCTGCACATGTGCGATGCAGCTTCCAATCCCTGTGCATTACCAGTACAGCAGACAGGGCTCTTCTTTCTCTCAATCACTACTTTTTTTTTTGAGGCACAGTAAGTCTGACACAAGGTTGCAGGTCCTTGCACCAAGGTAAAGGTGCCTTAGAGATTAGATTGATTTAAATTTTGAGACTACATGCATGATGAATAGGTCATTTTAAAAGAAGCTTAGAAGGTTAGACAAGGATTCTGTGGGAGTCTGTTAAGAGGAGGTAGACTTTGTTGCTTTAAAACAGTATAACTGAAGACCCCCGAGGACTTTCAGGATCTGCAGACACCGTGAAACGAGAGCGCAATCGAGTCACGCACCCGGTAAGCCTCTGATAATTGGACTCTATGAGGGTAATTTGGGAGACTTCCACGAAGGCCCTTCAGATAAGAACAGGGGGCTCTGTGAGACCGATTGTCCAAAAACACCATGTGACCCTGGTGTCCTCTGAGGCCGAGGAGACAAGGACAGAACCAAGGCCAAAGGCCAGCAGTGGGCCTATTGTCCGGGCCGGCCTGGTACGGCCTGACTGCCAGCGAGTGGTACCAGGCTAAGACAACAGATCTCATTCAATCTGTGCTCCTATCTGCAGCTGCTGGATGGTGGGGTGGTAGAAAAAATAATAGAGGCCTTGTTTTCAGCTGGCTCACCCCACCCCAGCCTCCATATCCCTCAATTTCACATCTGGAGACGTTTGCCCCCACACCTCAAAGAGCTAAATAACCGCCCGCTCACGGAGAGGCTCATTCCACAACACCAGAACTCACCAAGGACAAAAACGGACTACGAAATAAACACCAGTAACACTTTTCATTCCAGTCTGGGAGGCGCTTTCAAGATTTTCAAAACAGGAAAATCTGTCTTGATCCAAACCTTGCGTCCGTCTTCCTTTAATAACCCATTTAGCAGCTTTGGTTTGCTCAGTCTGTTGTCTCTAATCAGCTAAGCTTGTTGTCTCCTGTCTTGTGTTCATATTGCTCAGCTCGACCTCCGTGACCTTCGGCTGTAGCGCGACTGGCTTTATCTCCAAGCTCAAATTGGCTCTCTCCGACAAGCTAAGGCTTTCCAAAACCCTTTTAAAAGGCAGCTAGGAAGAAATGGAGACCATGTGTGCAACGAAAACAAACATGGAAGCTGAGAACGAGGATTTGACACTCAACACTAAATTAAAACTGGTTGTTAAACATAATCTAACACATTAAAGCATCCCAGTCTATCACTGATAAAGGGGTTCACCTTGAGGTTGGTGTGCAGGGCGGACTCTGGAGGGTAAACGATGAAGTGGCGGAGCGTGAAACCGAAGCCCTGGGAGTTCTTATGGAGGACCAGCGTCCGGGGACCCTTCCAGCCCACGCCGACCCCCTCTCTTCCCGGCCGGGTCGCCATCGGCGGCCGAGGGTTGTCACCGGCTGAGGAGAGACCATCCCTCCGCCCCTTAGCCTGGAAACACACAAACAAAGAGATTTAGGACAAGAAACGATCCCGTACTTTTCTAAAATGTACTTCAATTTTTGTAAGAATTTGCTGTTGTTTGTTTTAATGAAATGTTAACCGCAAAAAAACAAAAATAAAGACACAAAATGTCCACATCAAAAATCTGTTTTTTTTTGTTTTGTTTTTTAATAAATGGTCACTTGTTCTTAAAATTACACTGTTTAACTTTATTTAAATCAACTAAAAATATAATTATTTTACAGATATTTTCCATTATTTAAAGGAAGAATTATGTATACTAAAGAATTTTAAAAATTGTAAATAATTTTTAACAATTTTATTTTATTTACAAGTATTATTCTAATTATATATTTTAAACATTTTCCCTGTTTGACTAAATTACGAATAATGTCTCATAAAATCACAGGAAAAAATGTATTAATTAACATATATGAAAAAAAAGAAAGAAAAATCAGGTTGGAATTGTATTTAAATCTGCCAAAAAAATAGAATTATTTTTACACGTATTTGCCATTAAATTCAATAAAAAGTATTTATATGAAGGACTGAAAAATGGTGATAAAAAACTTTTAGCTGTTATTTTACACACTTTCCTCATTTTATTAAATTGTAAATATCTGATAAAATCACAGAAAAAAGTATTATTTTACATGTTGACTGTAAAAAACATGCAAATAGTAATTTTTTCTTTTATGATGTGTGACTGAAAAATAACATTGTCTTATTATTATTTCATCTGCTAGCAGCACTATTTTACAGATATTTTCTGTTATTTTTTACAGCAGTTGGAGTATGTGATGCCAATGACATTTCTAAGATCTGCAGAAATGTGTGCACACGTGTAAAAATGCAGAAAATGTAAAAATGTGTGTCAGCAGAGCGCGTGTGTGCATTCTTAGCTCGTGAAACCCAACAGAGGAAACAGCACAAATGAATCCTCCACTATCAGTTTTTCCTATTATTAGCACCAACACTGGAAGAACAGTCCACTTTTCCAGATGCGCTGATCTTTATGATTCCCTGGAGAAGCTCAAGGTGACTCCCTACTCAGTGACATTAACCCTGGACGGCTGGATTCTGCATTAGCAGCTTCCTCATGAGTGTAGCTCATAGTCAGGTCAGGCCCCCCAGCCTCAGAACAATAGTCCATAAACATAGCTAGGGGGTCCACTGTCAGGAAGGACCCTCGTCTAGACAGAGCTGATGAGGGGAAGGAGGGAACGTGGAGCTTTCAGACCAGAGAGAATCTGAACTCGGAGTCCAGATTTCCACCCGCTCACTAAATATCTCAGTCCTGCTGCCGAGTAAACAAGCCGAGCGAGCTCAGCTGACAGACACACGTGAGAACTATCACCCCCATGCTGCCCCACATCTGTCAGTCAACCAGCATCACCTGACCAAACAGGCAGGACCAGGACAGATCTGCACGCCAGCTCTGAGGTCGATCCGCTGCGGTTTACTTATCCTAGGCTGCACGATGAACTTCGCCTCACTCACTTGAAGCAAAATGTGGGAGACGGTCACCCTGAGTTAACCCAGGTCTGATGTTTTGTATGAAGCTGCAACTGTGTGAAGACAAACTGAAACTGGATTCTGAGCCTGCAGTCCCACAGGAGTATATACATTAAATTAGACATGCAACCACTATTTGATTAGTTTTCTGGTTTCCTTCCTCCTCTATGACAGTAAGCTGAAAATCTTTGACTTCTGGACCAAACAGGATACTTCATCTTGTGCTTTGGGAAACATCGTTTGACATTTCTGACCATTTTTTGACTTTAATAATCGAGAAAATAATCTGCAGATTAATCGGCAATGAGAGTAAGCATTAGTTGCATCCCTGCTTTGAATGTTGTCAACGTACCCACAATGCAATGCACATGAGGAAAGAAGCAGTGGAGTTTCTTTGAACAAAAGCTCCAGAAAGCCTCCCTTTTCTATAAGCTATCCATTTAGCAAAAAAATGCTCCAAAATGTGAAACTGGATGGTTCAGATAGCAGCAGGGCATTGTGGGAGATCTCGAGGTGTTCCCCGCCCAGATGAGACGTGCAACTCCTCCAAAAAACACATTTCAGCCAAATGTATCCCTGATCTTGTGTCTGTCAGAGGAACTTATTTGGACTGCTGGTAACACAGTACACGCAACTAACATTCTACTCCTCACACCTTATAAACCAAATGATTTATCAGTTTGTAAAGAAATAATCTGCAGATTGATCATGAACATAAACGATAGATTTTATTCCTAAGGCTCAGAGTCAAGCAGCATCACACACACGAGGAGAAACCACAGATATTCTTCTCTCTAATGTCGAACATGCACACGCTATAGGATGGGAAAATAACGATGTAGCACATGGAACAGGACAATACTGAGAAAAAGTGAGAAAAAGCCAAAGCAAGTGTGTACTATGTAGGTCAGTATAACTTCATGGTTAATACTGGGATTGGTGCTTCATAGATAGATAGTAAGTAATCTCAGTGTGTACAGATCTAACAGCTTTAACTGATTTTATTTAAAGTTATTTACATTTCCGGGCTCATAGTAACAGACAGACTTAAACACAGTATTACAAAACTGCACTCACACATAGTCGCAGTATAATCTGTGGAGAAAAAAAGGGCTTTTAAAACCGTATTTTGGAGCAAAGTCACCAAATGTTCTAAGCAGCCTTCATCTTATTTGACATGTGATTCTGTACATGCAAGTTTTATGTCCTGTTAAACCTGTTTCCACATTCATTTCAACAGGGACCTGGTGGATGCTCCAAAGATGGCTGCCGAGGGAGGAGACTTTCCTAAAAAGACTGTGATTTGACTTTGGTTGGATCCAGCATCAGCTCCGGAGGACAGAGTTTGTTATGACAAGTACAGATATAGAGGAAGAAAATGATGATGGAGGAGATCCAGCTGTTAAATTCTAGCTTCTAAGTTCATGTAAGCAACAACCCAGCACACAAACAGAACCTCAGCGGTTTGATGTGCACATGAACAACACAATGCAGCCAAAATAAAACAGTAAACTCCCCAGGCTGCTGGTTAATCAGAACTTCTTAGGTATGCAAAATATATGTGAATGTTTCCTTTAGTTTTTAACACTCCAAGCAGTTTCTGGGTGTTGTCTGATATTTTTTCTCGCTATGGACTCATTTTTTAATGCAAAATAAAGTCCTGCACCTCTATGGAAACAGCACAACCATGACTTGGAGGAGAAAGAAGTCAAGCTGAATTTCTTTTCTTATTTTACAGAATTTTTCACTCACATGTGTTACCAATACTGGAAAAAATGACTCGACATACGATAAATATTTTATTACTTAAATTGTTATTTTATTTTCATACTTGTCTCATATTTTTCTGTGGAATCTATGGAGTAGTGA